ATCCCAGCACTTTGGGAGGCTGCGGGCAGATAACCTGAGGTCAGGAGTTTGAGACCAGCCTGGCTAATATGGTGAAACCCCATCTCTACTAAAAATACAAAAAAATTAGCAGGGCGTGGTGGGGCGTGCCTGTAATCCCAGTTACTTGGGAGGCCGAGGCAGGGGAATTGCTTGAACCTAGGAGGCAGAGGTTGCAGTGAGCCAAGATCGCACCATTGCACTCCAGCTTGGGCAACGAGCAAAACTCCATCTCAAAGAAAAAAAAAAAAAGTCTTAGATAGCGTTTTCTTCCAACAGAAGGCTGTTTCGTCTACATTGAAAATGTTATTAAGCATAGCCACCTTCTTCAGTTATCTTAGCCAGCTCTTCTAGATAACTTGCTGCAGCTTCCCTATCAGCATTTGCTGCGTCACACTGCACTTTTATGTTTTGGAGACCATTTCTTTCCTCATGAACCAACCTCTGCTAGCTTCAAGCTTCTGCAACTTCCTTATCTCTCTCAGCCTTCATAGGATTGAAAGAGTTAAGGACTTACTCTGGATTAGGCTTTGGCTTAAAGGACCGTTGTGGCTAGTTTGATCTTCTCTCTAGACCATTCAAACTTTCTTCGTATCAGCAATAAGTCTGTTTCGCTTTCTTATTATTCACATGTTCAACGGAATAGCACTTGTAATTTCCTTCAGTAACTCTTTTTGCAATCACAGCTTGGCTAACTATAGCATAAGGGGCCTTGTTTCAGTCTATCTCTGCTTTTAACATGCCTCCTTCGCTAAGTTTAGTAATTCCTAGCTTTTGATTTTTTAGACGCCCATTGTAGGATTAATTATTAATTAGCCTATTTTCAATACTATGTCTCAGGAATTAGGGAGATCCAAGCAGAGGGAGAGATTGGGGAACAGTTGTTCAGTGGAGCAGTCAGAACACACACAATTACTGATAAAGTTTTCAGTCTTAGATGGGTGCGGTTTGTGGTGCCCTGGAACAATTGCAATAATAACATCAAAGATGACTGACCACAGATCACCAAAACAGGTATAATAATGAAAAGTATAAAATATTGCAAGAAATACAAAAATGTGACACAGACACATGAGGTGAACACATGCTTTTGGAAACACTGTACTAATAGACTTGCTCAATGCAGCATTGCTACAAATCTCGTCTGTCAAAAGCACAGTATCTGCTAAGTGCAATAAAACAAAATATGCCCATGTCTACCAAAATTATATATTGATCTTTTGACCTAGTAATCCCACACGTATTTTTTTTTTTTTTTTTTGCAGAATATGCTGACAGAAATACAAAATGACCTATTCATAAAACTTGCAGCATCATTGTGGTAGTAGAACACCAGAAACATCAATAGGGGATTGGGTGAATAAAATAGAGTCTACTCACAGTGGAGTACTCTGCAATTGTAAAAAGAAATGAAGGACTTATATACAGATAGAGTGATTTCCAGAATATATTTTGAAGTGATAAAAGCAAGATTGTAGAACAGTAATTATTATACACCAATTTTTCTGTAAGAAGGGGAGAGAAAAGTGTATTGCATATTGATATAGTTTGGATCTGGGTCCCCGCCTAAATCTCATGTTGAAATGTAAACCCCAATGCTGGAGGTAAGGCCTGGTGGGAGGTAATTGGATCATGGTGGCAGTTTCTCATGAATGATTTAGCACCATCCCCCTGGCGCTGTTCTCCTAAGAGTTCTCATGAGATCTGGTTGTTTACAAGTGTGTAGCACCTTCCCCATCTCTCTCCCTCCCTCCTGCTTCTGGCCATGTGAAGTACTGGCTTCCCCTTCACCTTCTGCCATGACTGTAAGTTTCCTGAGGCTTCCCCAGAAGCTAAGCAGATCCCACCATGCTTCCTGTGCAGCCATGCAGAACTGAGAGCCAATTAAATATCTTTTCTTTATAAATTATCCAGTATCAGGCATTTATAGCAGTGCAAGAAAAGACTAATACACATGTGGTACCATCAGATTTAAAGGTGAACTTACTACAATATCTAAAGATGCTTCAACTAATTTAGTTAAGCCTGCAATTGCTTTTGAACAAGGATAAGTCTTTGCTGCTAGATAGTTCTTTGAGAAGAATCTTAAGGCAAAGGTAACTTGTTCGGGAGGTTCAAGAGAAGCAGCAGAAGGAACATAAAAAATGTGAGTAAGTGGTGAAGATGAAGCTGTGGAGACAGAGTGAGACTGTCTCAAAAAAAAAGTTTAAAAAGAAAAAAATATATATCACATGGACCCATCAATATACAAATATACATAATACAAATATTATGTATCCATAATAATTAGAAATAAAAAATATTTTAAAGGTCCCCCACCAGAAAAGATTATGACTCACTGAAGGCTCTGATGATCTTTAGCTTTTTTTTTTTTGGTAAGCAATTATTTTTAAATTAAGGTATGAACATGAACATTTCTTTTTAGACATAATGCTATTACACTTAATAGTCTATGTATAGTGTAAACATAACTTTTATATGCAGTGGGAAACCAAAAATTCATGGTACTCACTTTATTGAGATAGCTGCTTTATTGTGGTGGTCTGCAACCAAATTTGCAGTATCTCTGAGGTGTGCCTGTACTAAATTTCCCTGCATGGAGGTTGCAATAATTTTTATATTCACAACAGACACATGTAAGAGTACATTCACCCACAGCCCCACCAGCAGAAACACTGTCAAATATTTAGATTTCTAATGATTAAAAATGGTATGTAGTGTAATTTTAATGAACTTTCTCTTTTAAGCCTGGAAAGTCTTACATGTTGAATGGTAACTTTTCATTTTCTGCAAACCATCTATCTTCTGGCAAATTTTCTATTGGGTTTTTAGAGACTGGAGTTTTCCTTACACTCTAAATGTAAATCCTTTATTCTGAGTTACATTTTTCTGTGACTTGTTTTTAACTTTGTTTATAATGACTTCTTTTGTATTAAGTTCCATAAAAAAAAAATCCACTAAGCTTTCAGTTGAATTTAAGTGTATTGGTTAAACTGATGAAAATTCACATCCTTTTTACATCTTTCTATTCATAAACATGTTAGCACTCTCCATTTATTTTTCTCCTATACTGACTATAACGTTCTCAGTGAGAATTTTTTAATTGACTTTGCTCAATACTTGATGTGCATGCTTGATTTTAAAGTTTCATGTTTTTCTAGTTTTAGAAAACTCTCAACTCTTCAAATATTGCTTTCTACCCCCTTCTATTGTTATTATTATTATTTTTTGTTTTTTTTGTTTGAGACGGAGTCTCGCTCTGTCGCCCAGGCTGGAGTGCAGTGGCCGGATCTCAGCTCACTGCAAACTCCGCCTCCTGGGTTTACGCCATTCTCCTGCCTCAGACTCCCGAGTAGCTGGGACTACAGGCGCCCACCACCTCGCCCGGCTAGTTTTTTGTATTTTTAGTAGAGACGGGGTTTCACCGGGTTAGCCAGGATGGTCTCGATCTCCTGACCTCATGATCCGCCCGTCTCGGCCTCCCAAAGTGCTGGGATTACAGGCTTGAGCCACCGCGCCCGGCCCCTTCTATTATTTTAATTTTTCTCTCCAGATATCCTATTATAGGTTGTTGGATATTCATGTTCCATTTTTTACATCTCTTAAAACACTTCTTAGTACTTTTTGATAGTTTGTGAGGGTAATTTTCTGAAATTTATCTATTAGTTCACTAGTATTCTCTTCAGCCAGGTCTCTCTCTTTACTTCTAGAAGTTCAACTTGATTCTTTTACCAATCAAGCTTGTTTATTTTAAAAAGTCATGTCTATTATTCAGTATGAGTTCTTTCTTATAAATATATTTTCTTTTTGATTGATCTATTATTTCCAGTTCCTGGAGAACACATTCTATTTACTTCATTTCTTTACTCTCCTCATGCCTTTTTATTTCCTCTTTTGCTTTTAACTAAGATCTTACCTTCACCTAGGCTGAGTCAAGGATCAATGTTCCAGCATTTTAAGGCTTATATATTGGTCTCAAATCCTTTCAATTGGTCTTTGGTATCAGTCTACACTTAGCATTACGGCTTTGATTCTTAATTTCTCATATCTGAGGATTTCCAGATTATTCTTTTAACCTCAGTTATATATGAAAATTATTTCTTGGTTATATTTCATAAAGAAATGCTTGATGTTTCTGTTAGAAGAACATGCACTCTAAATGTAGTAGCTTACTCAGACATGGTACCAAAAGTCCTTAGAATTTTTATTAAGAACAGTGGCTAAGATTCTGTAAACAACCTTTTGGAACCTACTGATAAATCACATGTCTTTCTTCTTTGTCAGTGTAAGTCATATTGGTAAATTTTCCAATATTGAACTAACCTTGCATTCTTGGAAAAAACACTATTGGATGACCTAAATGCCTTAAGGAAATTAAAAATGATCTTAATAATTAAGAAAACCTAAATTATGATTTTCTCAATAGAGAAATTAATTATATTTAATATCCATGCATGATACAGAATCCTAATTTTACACGATACATGCAAACTGTCTTCATCTGATAACAAGGATAGTTTAAAAACCTAAGGCAGGCAGATAACAGTAAAAATCAGAAACATTCCCTTTCAAATTAAAATTAACTACCTGCTATATTTTGCCAGTGTATAGTCAATACTTTTCTAGCTTTATGCCTTATGTCATTTCTTGTCTCTGGAAACTCCACCCTTTGGGGGGAAAATAACAGTTCCACCTCCACTAAAATAACAATTGTGTATTTTCTGCCAGAAAAATGCATATATGCACATAAACACAAAATTTTGCATAAAACATCATAGAATTCACTACCTACATTTCGCAAAGTAGATTCCAGATTAAAAATTCCTAACTTACAGATCACCTCTTAAAACAAAATACTCAAAAATATTAATGGAGGAATAAATAAATAAGCAAGCAAATACACAAAAGAACATATGTTGATGCAAGCATTCATATTTGCCTATGAAAATTTCCTTGAAGAAACTAAGACATGAGACATAAAATACACTTGGGTTTTAGGTATTTATTTACAAAGTTCTTACTAATACAATTGCTTTTAAAATATAGCAAAGAGTCATTTACTATTCTCAGAAGTGGCACATACACGGCATAGAAAATCTATAGTCAGTTAACTATTAAAACAGATACTTGAAAATTAAGTGGCAAACATTTGTAGTACTCCCTAAAGAAATAGGAAATAAAAATGCATTTATTCATATGAACTTGATTATTCTGAATTACTGACTATAAAAAAGGCTATTGTGAAAGATATCACACTTTGAAATAGCAAATGAATTTTCAACTTTACATTTAATTAAAAGACCATAATAAAAAGTTGAACACACACATATCTGTGTATTTCACAGAAGATTAGTAAAACTGATGGCAACTTCGGAATTATTTCATAAAGGGTACAAACAGTCTTTACCACAATTTTCCCATGGTCTTATCCTTCAAAATAAAATTCCACACACTATCAAACTAAATCAAGATTTGCTAGTGGCTAAAATCACCATAAATATATAGTACTCTCTCTGAAACAGCTACAAACATCTTGTTTTTGGAAAATATACAATGTTTCTCAATCTTTCTGTCCTTATCTCAATTTGCAAAAATATTTTGAAACAATCTCCTTTAAATGTTATTCTTGTTAATAAGGGCAAATCTTTTAAAATCCACATGCTAGATCTTGAAAACGCTTGAGAAGAAAATAAACTGCAAAAGGAGTGGTTAAATACTTCAAACTGCACATGTGAAACAGACCCACTATCTAATCAGAATTCTATGCAAGTTTTTATCCAGTATTATGATGTCATTTAATCTCTGAATAAATTGAGCTGCACAAATATTTATTTCCATAAATTCATTCACAGATACTATACAAATAGATTCACAGCAGTATTTGGCACCCACCCATAAAATGTATTTACTCTATCAGGGTTGCAAAGCTACTAATACCAGCTGATAGCAACTTAAATTATTGGCCTTTGAATGACAGATTCAAACAAAAAGATAAATTACATCAAAATAACTATCATTTTTTTACATGAATTAACTTGAAAATGTAACAGGTAAACCTTACTCTTTCAAGAAGAAAAATCAAATAGCATACTTTAGTGTTACTTATCTTCCTTCCAGCTTTCACCAAGTGCTAATTACAAGTACCATTTAAGTCAGTTTCTTATTTGAGTATGAGGTGTTTATACATTTCTATAATTTAAGATTTTGGTAACGCTTCATATCAAATGAGTTGTAGATCTACTTAACGTATGACTTCTCCTTTCAAAGAAGGAAGGAAGGCTGACAAGGGAGGGAGAAGGGATACCCTGTAAAGACAAAACAAATTATTTCATATTTTAAATCTTCCTTTTAAAAAAATTGTAAAATACAGTTTGGTATCATGCCTATTATTTTTACATTTTAAAAATTACTGTAACAATTAAGTACAAGACATCTGACAATTCTAAACTCTTTAAAGTTAGGGGAATGGAAAAGGGAGAAAAAAGAAAACTATTATAGCATTCTGAAAACAAAGCCAAATAGCTAGACTAGTTAACTAGATATTAACTCAACTGAACAGATAATGGCCTATTGCCAGTAGTGATACCTAACTTTGTTTTATGAAATATTAATGATTCAGTGTTTCAGGTTATAAAAGAAAAAATTATAAATTGGCAAACAAGGTTTCTTCTTAGTTCATAAAGCAGAATTAAGAGGAATGAAATCATTTCATGGGAAATAATTTTCTAAAATTAAGTCATACACTCTCAAAGAGTGTTTGTAATATATGTACAACTCAGATGTACATATGTGAGTGTGAGAGTGTATATGTATATATATAATTTTGTTCCACTGTAATCCCAGCTACTCAGGAGGCTGATGTGGGAGGACTGCTTAAGGCCAAGAGTTTGAGATCAGACTGGACAACTTAGCAAGACCCCCATCTCTCAAAAATATTTTTAAACAATTTTTAAAATTTTGTTCTATATAAAAATTGAGTGAAACAGCAATCCTTCTGGATAACAGTGACTATTAAATTGCTAAGTTTTATATCCCTGAGAAGTCTTAAAAATTTTAAAATAAAACAACTCTAACAAATAACATGCGAAGACTCAAGAATAACTGTAAATGAAAATAAATTTTAAGGCTACTGTTTTATTTTAACATATACAAATGGCTAACTGTAAGACCTAACTAACTGTAAAGTAGTTGGCTGTAAGTTCTCATAAACAAGGTTGTAAAATGAAGCATTTAAAAAGCTGGGCTGATGAAGTATAACCATTCAAGTATCAACAAAATGATGATATAAATGTATAATATAAAAGTTGACACTTTCCTCACGTGGAACTTTTATGATTTGGTATATTAAAAGCATAATTTTCTGTAAATGCTATAAATCTAACATTAAGAATCAGATTTAGAATATAAATCCACTACTCATGACGATCATTACTATTCTTTAAAATGATAATTTTCCTAAATAAGAAAATTTCTAATGGAACTTATTTTTTCTGGACTTAATAAACTCTATTAAACCTAAATTGTTATTAATTCAAAGCAGTCATAACATTGTGAATTCCAAAGTTCCCACCCACCCAATAAGTGATTCCTTGGAGAAAAAATATGTTCCTTTTTTTTTTTCCTTTTTTTCTGCAGATACAAATTTTAAATAGCTAATAAGCTCACATTAAACTTCATGAGGCTTGTTTCCATTAGTGGTTGGCAAATCTCCTAATTCTTCACAAGTGTCAAAGATGAGTTGGAAATAACTTTTTTGAAATTTGAAAAATCAGTGTTTCCTTCTAGTATCTCTGAAAAACTAGCTCGGAAAGCAGAATGACGTACAGATCGAAACCAGGAGTACTGAGAGCGCCCACCAGTAGAGTTTAGGCGCTGAACATAAACATGCTTAGTAAATCCAATTACATTGCTTGTGGAAATAGAATGGGTAATCTGTTAGAACAGAAACAAGCAATTGAGAAGATGACATTAATGTCTTGAAGGTATTTTAGCTGCTTGTTACGTATATTGTCTATTAAAAGTGACATAACCATAAATAACAAATTAATTTTCTAAAATTTTCTATAAAATGCATTTACTTTCATTTGAAAGATGAAAATGTTTACAATAGTTGCTACAGGTGGCTTTGAGAAAGCTATAATCTAATTTTCACAAATTAATGCTTATCTGCATTTGTCAATTTTAATCGACCAAACTACTTTGCATATATTCATTTTATCAACTAAATACAGCTTCTCTCCCATTGGTTAAGGTTAATGCTGATTAAAAACCTGTATAAATACACTAATAGATTTAGCCATAACTCTTTGATGTGTTAACTAAAGACTTTAACCAACGTTAAAATATATATTACTAAGTATTATTTATGTGCCTTACCTGCAAAAATTTTATATAATAAAAAGAAATCACTTATAAAACACAAGAGCCCTCACAATGTGCCAGGTACTGTTCTAAGCACTTTACATATAATAACTCACTTGATCCTTATAACTACTTATGACTTACTTTACAGACAATGAAATTGAAACAGACCTTTAATAACTTGCTGAAACACATATAACTGGTAAATAGCAGAGCAAGGATTTGAACACTAGGGTTCCAGAATCCAGGCTCTTAACCACCACCCAAACTGCCTCCCAGTATATAACATCATATACATATGTATGATTATATAATATATACATATATTATTTAGTCCTACAATGAAATTGTGGAATAAGTAAGCACTATTAACATCTTTTCTCTCATCTGCATTTTTGCAGATGAGAGAATAAGAAACCTGGTACAGGACACACAGCTAAGAAGTGACAGTCACTTGCTTTTCTTAACTTCAGTAGGTTAATAATTGTATTAAGTACAGATATTTCACTCAAATACTTAGTAATAGTATTAAATATCTAATAATTTAATAATTCTGAAACTTGGAAATTTGGATTGTTCAGGAAAAATTTTAAATATACATATATATATAAAATATACATGAATTTAGAGCCCATAACATCCTCTGAAATTCAGTTTCAGAGATTATATTCTACTCATCACAAAAATAGTAAAAGGAATAAAACTCGGTCTGTGCTATTTTATTGGAACCGATCTATATAAACAGAATCATAGCTATTTACATTAGTAAAGTGACAGGCCAGATTGAAACGTGTTTCTTTTCTTAGAGATTTTAGAATACATTTCAATACCAATAAAATTTCCTATCAAATAAACTACACATTAAGTGTGTCTCTAGTTCATGCGTAGTAGGGTTTTCTCAGTTGCCTTTACCCAATAAAGAGGTTAGAAGTTTGGATGTACATATTTTAAAAATGACGTAGGACTATGTTAGGATGCCAAGGTTTAAAGCACTAGGGGAGAGACCTCCTCCCTCCCAGCATCATGCTTTCCGTGCTGATTCTTCAGTGCTAGTGTACAGAGCTGTGCTGTCCTTCCAGGAGCCACTAGCCACATGTGGCTATGAAACCCCTGAAACATAGCCAGTCTGAAATGCAGTCAGCTTTGTAAGTATAAGGTGCATCCCACATTTTTAATACTTAGTACATAAGAAAGAATGAAAATATCTCACTGGTAATTCTTACATTGATTCGCATTCAAATGATAATATTTTGGCATACTGGGTTAAAATACATTATTAAAATTTTTTAAGCATGGAAGAAATATTTCCAATTTTTAAAAGTTAACAAATCCCATACCAGCTTCATAAATATGTCATTCATCCCATTAAATCAAAATAACTTACTGCTAATGATGATGTGCTAGAAAGACGACTCATTACATGCTTATCATTGCTGGAAGGACTTCTTCCTTCCACTGAGCCGTGGGATGTCATAAGAGCCCTTCGAAGAGCTCTTTTTGGAGTTTTGGAGAAAGAGAATGCTCTTGTAACCTAGAGTTTAAGAGTTACAATTACTTAAACCAAGACAAATTTAATACAGTTGATAAGAATACTGAAACATAAAAAAGACAAATATATGGCAAAAGTTTTCCTACTGTAGTATGTGGCAAGATTAGAATCTCTTTGGCACAAAGCAGTGAGGAAATTTGTATACTATTTCAACTTTCATTTAGAGAGCAGTGAAGTCCAATGGAAGGAGGAGAAAAGAAATCTAGCCTGGGAGAGAAGAAACCTAAGTTCTTGTCTGATTCAACCAGTCTAGTTGTGAGATTTCTAATCCAAAAATCACCTGAACCTCCATTTCTTTATTGAAAGAGTGAAGGAATTCACTTGAATAATAATCTAACATGTTTTTCTTTTATACATCATACATGTTAAATGATAGGAGATACAAAAATTACTAAAATACAAAGCCTCCCCATAAAGGGAAAGAAAACAAAACTTGTAAATCTAGCAGTAGAGATTATGGCTGTAAATCTCTCTTAGAACACTAAAATTCTAGTTCTACTTTTAAAAAGCCTATTATCAACATACTTATGTAATCCTCAACAACTCTGATAAGGTAAGTAAGTTATCTTCATCATGAGAAGACTAAAATATACTTCGAGAGTCAGAAATAGATCCCAGGTCCGCTGACTATCGTCTGCCCTTTGCTGAAAATAACTGTGGCAATATATTTAAGATGAGGGCACACATATTTAAATCTAAAACACCAACAGTACATTTCTACTGCAGGATAGTTCACAGAAGCATCATTATTACAAAATGGGAGGGATAACAAGTTATAGTTACTGTGGCAAAGAAGTCACTGAAGTAAAACTATTGTTTCTGTGGGTCATTTCCTAGAATCGAAGAACAGCTTTGTTCTATAAACTATACTGGTGTTCGCAGTAATATTATTTGAATATAGTCTGGAAAATACATATTACAGATATGCTAAATAATAATTTCATTAAAACGCACCTTTTTTGAAGTCTTTTTTATTGCTCTTGATGCTCTACTCAATGTACTGTCCATATCTTTTGTATTTACTTCAAAGGATTCTGGATCAGCAGTATAAATAAGATTCTCCTATTGAAAAATAATACTTTTTGTTATCTTGAAAACACACAACTGTTTCTAAAAATCAAACTTTTAAGCATATTTATGTATGGAGTATTTGCAAATGAAGCTACTCAAGATTTTTCATGTGCTTGATATAACTTCTACCCCGAAATGTACTAATTTAAGGATAGTGAAAAATAAGCATTCAGTAAATGAGTAATTCCCTATAAGGGTGATGGATACCAAAGCAATTGGAAATAGACCTCAAAATAAAATCTAACAACTCTTAAACAAGTTAGAAATTTAGCAGACTTAAACTTAATGCTTAAGTATAAAGTCAGCTACAAAACCAAGACCACAAACACTGTTCTTGACATAAACTCAAATTAAGATTTAGACTTTCTCCTACTTTACCCTTTCGTCCTCAATCAGCATTTGTACGGATTCTAAATCAGAGATTCTAAACCTGTGACCAAGAGCCTGTAGGGTGACAATGAACAGAAACTGGGCACAAAATTTTGTGTGTACATGTGCAAAGGGCATCTTTCTGAAGAGGGGTTCACAGCTTGTATCACATTCCTAAAGGAATCAAAGACGCCATATAACCACCAGTCTACTCTGTACTTCTATGAGGTCAGCTGCTGCTGATACGCTGGGGAGGACGGGATGGGGTGGGAGCTGGAGTGAGGCTGGTCAATAGGCACAAAGTTACAGTTAGAAAGGAGAAATAAGTTCTGGTGTTCTATTGCACAATGGTGACTATAGTTAACAATACAGTATTGTATTGTATATTTCAAAATAACCAACAGCGGATTTTGAAGGTTCACACCATAAAGAAATGAGTATATTAGGTGATGGATACGCTAAATACCCTGATTTGATCAACACACAATGTATACATGTATCAAAACATCACATTATACCCTATAAATATGTACAATTATTATGTGTCAATTAAAAATAAATTTTTAAAAAGACCTCATATAGGCCAAGAACCACTGAACCACTTAAACAGGACAATTAATCTCTAAGTAATTAAAAATATTACTTGCTCAAATTATGGCTGAATTTTCAGAAGAAAGCAAGTTAGACAAAATGATTTTAGATAGTCCTATAACCAATTTGCACTTTAAATTTATAAATCTACACTACGAATAGGCAAATTGCCTTGTTACCCTGTCACTATAAAGACTATTTTCCAGCACTATCATTCTGTGGTGACAGAGAAAAAACAACCTTGTGAAAGTTGTTTTTTCTGAAAATTTTTTCCATTTGCAAAATGTAGAACATATCTAGAATACCTAACCCATAGTAATCATAAGGCTAAAACAAAATAATGCATAGAAGTACTTTGAATGAAATGTTAAGCCTCTTTACCAAGTGTTAAATATTATACTCTACAATTACAATGCTTGATTCAGCTCTCCACCACTGATACATAGACAGCTTTTGTTATTCTAAAGCTTCTCTAATTTTGTCATTTGAACAACCACATGCTCTCTGCCTGCTACAGAACCTCTCTTTCCACTTGATCGATTTGCTATGCTTATCTTGTACAAATCAGGTAATAGTACTTGTAAATGTCAATATCTTTTCAATTTAATGTTACTTTTTGAGTTAAGAAAAATTTAGAAAACATGAATTACCCATAACTCTCTTAATCAATTACCATCTACACTTTGGCATATTTCTTAGAGATATTTTTCTACATGTATAAAATGTTTCTTCATAACAAAACTGGAATATTATTCAGTTTTGTACCTTACATTTTTCAATTAGCTGTAATTTTTTTGTCTCAAAGGATTTCCTCTTAATGAAGACCTGACAAATCTCCTCTGATTATACCACAATTAATTTAATCATTCCACTATTTTTGAGCATTTAGAGTGCAGTAATGGGGAATTACTGTGTAATGGGTCCACAGTTCCAGTTTAGGAAGATGAAAAAGCTCGTAAAACAGATGGTGGTGATATTGCACAACAGTATGAATATACTTAATGCCAATAAACTATACACTTAAAAATGGTTAAAACTGGTAAATTTTATGTTATGTATATTCTACCACAATAAAAAAAGAAATACATGAAACTATATGTCTTTGTATATGAAAATATTAAACCACATGTTGGTAATTTTCTAAACCAGAACACTAGAGGTAGAAAAGCAGAATATGAAAAGTTCCTGATGGAAAAAGGGTATACTTCTTCAACCTATACTCTCACTGTCAGGACAGGAAAGAATCTATCTTGCCTCACTAGCTCTCAATGGTCTCCTTCAGTTTTTTTTTTACAATTTGGTTTGTGAAAACAATTGATATAATGCTAACTGTATCCGTATTGCTTTAAGTTTAAAGCAATTAGTTGCGTATATATTTTTTCATGTTTTACAGATATTTTATATCAAATTTTATTGGAAAAGAGGCTTTCATTTCCTACACTTTCTAACTGGTTACTGCCAGCATAAAGGAAAACTCTTGACACATATGTATTTATATTTTATTTGGCTGCTTTACTAAGCTCTGTTACAAATTCTAATAGTTTTCAGTTGGTTCTTGACAATTATCTAGGTAATCGTTTGTAAAACAACTGAATATTTGATACCTTACGTCAATCTGTAAGAAACAAAGCACTGAGGAATGTGACTTAAGCTCTGCCACACATATCTGAAAGATTTTACACTACTAGGATTTCCTATATCTCATGGTAGAGGGATGACATTTCCTACACTAGTGTATATATGGGTAAGCTCAATTGTATCCTTACTTTTATGAATTTAATTCTGCTTTGACCGCATTCCATTTTTATTTCAATTTTTATCTCATTCAATCAACAGATATATACTCAAAACCTACTATTTGATAGAATTTTTTATGTCCATAAGATACAGAGGCAAATTCAGAAAAAGAATGTTTTGATATTTAAATATATTTTCCTTAAAGAAATAAGTGATATGGTAATTACCCTGATTCGGTCATTATACGATGTACACATGCAACAAAACATAACACTGTACCCCAATATATGAACAATTATGTCATTATAAATAAAATCAATTAAAAATCAAAATAAGCACCATCTTCTGTTAATGTTTTATTTTTAAACTATAAAGTAACTTAACAATGCTTCTTTCAATTGGTAAACTTATGACTTTTTTAACTGAAAGCTGAAAGATCTAGTAAAATTAGCTGGAAAATCATTTAAAACAGTGATAATTTATTAACTGACTGGTTACAAAATAACACACATACCAAAGAGTCACCTATTCACAAAACAGCTTAGAAACAGGTAAAATATCCATTTATGACTGCATTCTAAAGAGAAAATTACTTAGGAATCAATCTAATAAATACATTTTTGGCCGGGCATGGTGGCTCACACACCTGTAATCCCAGCACTTTAACAGGCCCCCAGGTGGGCAGATCACTTGAAGCCAGGAATTCAAGACCAGCCTGGCTGGCCAACATGGTGAAATGCTGTCTCCACTAAAAATACAAAAATTAGCCAGGCACGGTCGTGCACATCTGCAATCCCAGCTACTCAAAAGGCTGAGGCATGAGAATCACTTGAACCCGGAGACAGAGGTTGCGGTGAGCCAAGATTGCACCACTGCACTCCAGCTTTGGTAACAGAGACTCTATCTTTAAAAAAAAAAGAAAGAAATACATTTTTGAAGAATGTACATATGTCTCTGCTTATATTTCTGGAAAGTATCAAAAGTCATACCCCTGGAAAGACAGATTAGCCAGACAGGAGTATGAGACATATTTTACTGCAGTATACTATTGTATATTTGACTTTTTCTTATATGCAAATATTAACTTTCAATTTAATAGATGGTAAAAATCATAGCATGACTATTAAACTAAACATTGGTAACTTACTCTTTGAATACTTAGATGCAAAATGTATCCATTTTCATATGTAATGCAACTAAACTCCAAGTGTTTAATTTTGCTGAAATGCTCTTTATAATGAAGTTCCCTGAAATTTAAATCCTTAGCAAATGCTAATAAAGGAGCTTCTCAATTTTTTCCATTGCTATCTTAACTATGACTAAGTATTAATAACCACTGATGAACTAAAAATGAAACCAGTGGCTTCATATTTTCTCTCAATGAACTAACAAACTGCTTTTGACTTAGGGGAGGGAAAGATTGATACAAAATTTTTTACCTTTCTAGAAGATTCTGGGTTCAGAATGACTGAAAGGGTGAACATATTGCTAGTTCACTAGTGGCTTAGAATATAATATATTATTTTTGCTAAGATATAAGTACGAAGTACTTCCTTTAGTGCTTTCCGCACAGAGGAAGGTAGATAGGGTAAATCACAGGCAAAAGTACAAAGTTGGGGAAACTTATCTTCAGTAGTCCTAGGTTTATTTGTTATTCATTCTTTCTCAATAATTATCATTCTGTCTTTAAAAACAAAAAAAACGAAGAGAAAAAACTTTGTGCTTTTTAGTCTATTTCTAACTCTAAAATATAATATGTACTAGGATAAGGACGAAAAATTAAATAAAATAAAAGTGAAATTGATAGATTAGCCAAAACACATTTTTATTTTTATTTACTTTTAAGCTCTGCTGGACTTGAGAACACACATTTTTAATAAATACTTACTATAATTCCAAAAACATTTTATGACTTATTCAAAGTATGTCAAGCATTAAAGAAGCTTTGGAAGGGCAGGAGTTTTTCAATCAACTCCAAATTCACATGTACCTGAAGACAGACTTGCTGAGTTCAATATTAAAAAGTAGTAGTCAGTCTCTCCCACTGAGATATATAATATTAATTTCAGGAGAAAGTGAGCCTTAGCTACAGATTTTGAAATCCTATTCTCGGGTGTTAATTCATAGGAAATTTTCTAGCATTTGACACCTTAAGCCAATTAACCTGTCTACTTGTGAGTTATCAGATACTTCTCTCCTTTGCCTAAGCTCTCCTCTTACCCTCGTCTTCAAACCCCCAGATCCTACCTACTATCACATGTCCCCTTCCTTTAGCCTGTGCCTCAGTGTTTTCCTCAAACTCTGTAATCATGCCTATAGCTTAGAGCTTCTGATTTGGCCAAATTAAAGTGGTACCAATAACAGACACTTATACTAACAACTTACTAGGTATGCCTAATAAATGGAAGAATAATTATAGCTTTAAATACAAATCATATTAACTTCATTATAAATATTATTGGCATACAAGCACAAACTTTTAATATATGTCCACTCATCGATCTATTTCTCATGCAGTTAGAAATTCTACTTACAAGTTTAAAAACTCAGAATGAAGATTGCAACTCTTAAGTAGCCAATGGTGATTTATTTGACCAAGATGTAGGATAAGTTTTGCAAATTTCAAATAAATATAAAGTTAGCAGCAAAAGTACTAAATTGTAGCACATGGCCTTTAATTATCAAGTTACTTTTAAACTAACCAAACTTCAGGAAAGGGTATCATTGCTTACATTTATTTATTAATAAAAGTATACTTCTGACATTAGAGGTTAGAAATTGTAATGGCCTCCACAAAGCTACCAGTTTATCTTAGGCAATATATGAATGTTAGAGTACGGACCATGCAATTAAAGGTTACATATTGGCAAGAGACCAAAAATACATATATAAGGATTCTGAGACATAAGATCTTCAATAGATTTAAACTTTAATCTTTAGATTCTGAAATGACAAAATATGGGACATGACATCCATGGGGAGAAAAACTATTAAGATGGTTTGACCAAGAATCAGTCAGTCATGCTCTTGGCCTTAGATTCAAACTTAATGGTATCAGACTAAGTTTTCTTTCAGTCTGATAAATTTAACTCTTACATCATTAATGAGTGAATATGACAAATGAAATAGTATAGAATAAAATAATTGTGCTTATTTTACTCTTTTAATTAAGAAAGCTCAAGCTACTTAGGGTACCAAAAATATATATATACAGGGTACCAAAAACAAAAACTACTAATTCAAAGAATCAGAGACTTTTTTATCTTTTTACATCTTGTATGTGTGTATGTGTGTGTGTATTTACATCTTGTGTGTATACGTATATATATATACATGTATAGGTATAATGTGGTTTATAAACTAAGTATTCATTGATGAAAACCTCCTTCCAAAGTGTTTAGAACAATTATCAGAATTTTTGTGTGTTTTTTAGATTTCTATGGACCAAGAATATGTTCTTATAAATAAAAAATTGTTTTATATATATATATTTAAATAAATAATATATATAATTATAAATATATATTATATATAATATAAACAAAAAAATATATATGTATACACACATATATATGTATACACACACACACATATCTTCACATGGAAAATTCTCAGGCTTTATAAAAATTTACTATATGTAGAATTTTAAACGCAGGAAAGGGCTCAACTGAAGTCACCGAGTATCTGAATTTACACATGTATTTGTTAAGAACAAAATTTCAATAGACTGAAAGAATTTTGTGGTATAAGGATAAGTCAGAACATAGTTAAATGTCTGCTGCCATCTTGTGGCTAATTTTACTTATGAATTTCTTCCATGTTATTTATATTTCAGTTCTAATATTATTAGCTACCATGTGGCTAGTAATTCAATAGATATAAGAAAAAATTTCTGTTAACGTTACATTTCAGTATTAGGGTTATAAGTCTGGAAATGACTCTATAAGCTATCTAGTCTGACATTCTGATAAGAGCAGGAGTAATTTCTGCAATAAGGAATTACTACAGGTAAAGAAAACCATTTTATATATGGATACCTAGAAAAAATGGATGGATACCTACAAAATAAATCTTATAATGAGCAGTTTTGAAAGATTTATAACAAAAGTGGTCTCCATCATTTTTCTAGCTAGCATTCTATTGTATGTGCTAGCATTGTATTTCCCCCTCTGAATCTTTTGTGCAACAATTTTTTATTTATAAGAACATATTCTTGGTCCATAGAAATCTAAAAAAACACACATACACAAACAAAAGTCTGATAATTGTTCTAAACACTTTGGAAGGAGGTTTTCATCAATGAATACTTTATAAACCACATTATACCTAAATGTCTTCCAAGGTTTCACACTTAACTGTGATTACACGTTTCATTCCCACAGAAACACCCAATGCAATCTCAGTTACAGTACTATTGTACTGAAAAGGGTCATCTATTATATCAGCATATTCTCTTCAATCTATGTCATTTGTGCAAAGAGCAAGAGGTCTATATCTGTCTATCACATGTCTCTCTCATATATAGAGAAGCAGCAGCCAAACTATCTTTTAGGGACCTAGATTTCATCCAGGGATACCTGATTTCAGGCAAGTCATTTAACTTCAATATTTTGATTCTCTCATCTATTTTCAATCTGTATAGTATAATGATAATTATATATTTATGATAGCATTTGATTTTAAGAGGTTCACATGAGAAAAATAGATTGGGAACATGCTATTAGCTATCTATTGCTTTCAATAAGATTTTTTTTTTTTTTTTGGCCAGACGCGGTGGCTCATGCCTGTAATCCCAGCACTTTGGGAGGCCAAGGTGGGCAGACTGCCTGAGCTCAGGAGTTCAAGACCAGCCTGGGCAACACAGTGAAACCCCATCTCTACTAATATACAAAAAATTAGCAGGGCATGGAGGCGTGCACCTGTTGTCCCAGCTACTCAGAAGGCTAAGGCAGGAGAATCACTTGAATCCAGGAGGCAGAGGGTGCAGTGAGCTGAGATCATGCCACTACACACTCCAGCCTAGGCAACAGAGTGAGACTCTGTCTCCAAAAAACAAACAAACAAAAATCAAAATGCTCTTTAATTTTTAGCTATGTCTAAGAGTACCAATGAAAAATCACAGGGTACATTACAAGAAGTCCCAAAATCTTCACTGAATCAGAGCCACGGGAACTATGAGACTATGAAGGCCTACCTTATGTAAGCCAAAAACTCAAACAATGTTTTCTGTACCTACACTATATAAAATATTTCCTAAAACAACTTATTAAATCAGTTTTTTTAATATACACAAAACTAAAACTCTCCATTCATAATAAATAAGTCATTAAAAATGTACATGTTTAGTCTGAGTGCACTGTCATAAAATTGAAACTTTCATTATAATACTGTTATAAGAACTTACAGCATCTGCTTTACAAATGGTGTTGGCTACATGTCGACACAGCATCTTTAGCCAGTTTTCTTTTGGAAGTTCATCTGATGTCATCTGGAAACTGAGTAGCACATTTGCCTGCTCTGTTGGTGGCCTCACAAGCAAGGCAAAAGCATTATGGCAATCTAGGGTTCCAGAATAACCATAAACATTAAGTGTCACTCCTTGGAAAATGACAGATGTATGCAAGTTTAGTTCCCTCAGAGCAATGAAATTCCAATGAAATGAACTATCTCTTCTCCACTTTCCTCGTCCTCTCTATTTTTAATAAGACAACATCACCATATTAAGTTGAAGTACTAAAAAGACAATATAGTACACCACGTAAGGAACTAATGATGATAAGTTAATGACATTAATTAAACAGTATTTTCCACATCATTTAATATTTTCTATAAAAATATTAAAAGTGTTACAAAAGGTGCACGACCAAGATGCTAAAATACAACCTATTTTAAACAAAGTCTGCCATAACTAAAATCCAAAAATGAAGATTTTTAAAACAAATATAGAGTCAGCCTTCCGTATCTGTGGGTCTACATCTGTGGATTCAATCAACTGCTGACCGAAAATAGTAGAAAAAATAGTACAAAATAGATTGTATCTGTATTAAACATGTACAGACTTTTTATTCTTGTCATCATTCCCTAAAGAATATAGTATAACAACTGCTTACTCAGCATTTACATTGTGTAGGTACTATAAGTAACCTAGAAATGACTTATAATACATGGGAAGATGTGTACAGGTTACATGCAAACACTGCAATTTTACATCCAGGACTTGAGCATCCCAGATTTTGGTAACCAACGTAGGTCCAGTAACCATCCCCCATGGATACCAAGGGACAACTATACTATGTAATCTTTAATAAATCCAGAATTTGTCAACTAAGTGAAAAGAGCAGTAAGTTGCTAAGTTTTCTTTAAGAATCATTTCTTGGCTGGGCGCAGTGGTTCATGCCTGTAATCCCAGCACTTTGCGAGGCCGAAGTGGGCGGATCACTTGAGATCAGGAGTTTGAGATCAGCCTGGCCAACATGGTGAAACCCTGTCTCTACTAAAATTACAAAAAAAATTAGCCAGGCATGATGACACACGCCTGTAATCCCAGCTACTCAGGAGGCTGAGGCAGGAGAATCCTGGCGGGGGCTGCAGTGAACCAAGTTCATGCCACTGCACTCCAGCTTGGGTGACAGACTAAGACTTCATCTCAAAAAACAAACAAACAAAAAAAACCCACAAAAAAACAAAGAAAGAATCATTTCTTATAAAGGAAAAAAAAAAAAAAAGAATAATTTCTCATGAACTGAAACCTTTCATTATTAGAGGAATCAGTAATGGAAAGAGCTAAACATTGTAAAAACATATGCCTAACATCCAAAATATGGCCATGCACATACACCACTGGGTGTCAATTAAATAGATGACACTGTTGTAGGTAGTTATAAATTTTCAGCAATTTCAGGCCTTTACAGAACCTGCTCTGTAACACTACCAAAGTTTAGAGTAAAACATTCCTTAATACACATATGACTCCCTATCAAGTCTACCAGTTACTCTGGGTTTATTTATTGCATTCACATCTATTCCTGATCCATACCTTAAACCTAGCCCTAAAAATGCAGCTGTTGGCAACAGTGAAAGTGTTAAGATACGGGGTACAGGTAATAGATTGGTTATTCTGTATTCTGAAGGAAACAAAAAAATAAATTTTGGTGTGGGAATAGGCTAGGCTAGGGTGCTATTTTAATACATAGCCATTTAAAAGCTCTTTGACCTTTAACAGATGAGGGTATCCTATAGGTTGAGATAGTACTTTCATTTGAGAAAATAAAAAGTCAGTTCTGTTCCTAGAGATGGAGTTGGGATAGAGGTGCAAGAACAATTACTTTAGCAGTCTGATCAACTATATTGAAAGATAATTTACCAATTAAAAAAAGCCAAAATGGAGTAAATCAAACCTACAATGAATATAAACTATTTTTATATAACCAAGAATGTATCCGACCAGCATACCTTCTGTCTCTCTTATGTCCAATACCTTCTTAATCTGAGAAAGGGGCATTAGGTGAATATGCTTAAGAGAAGCTGGGGGTCGGGTTTGGCCATGAGGACTCCTAAAAGTGCCAATAACCTTGTGCCGTTTTCTTGCTATCTGATTATAGAAAATAAAAAAGTATCAGTCAATAAAATGAAGAAAAATAAGGACCAAATACTTAAAAAATAAAATAGCACTAATCACATAAATCTATTATAACTCATTTAGTGATTATTCATTACAAAGCTGTTATAAGCAGAGCTACTATGTAACAAAAGTCAGACATGTAATTGTATAGCAGAAATGCTCATGTTTACATAAGACGAGTTCAAACGTCAGGAAAATAGGCCAAGGGATATTTTGCAAAAGGTCCCAGAGGTATGAAAAAACTAGAAGCATGATGAGAAGAGATAGAATCAAGGAATGACAGAATCTTAAATAAAAGTCCTAGAATTCAGGAGAAGAGGAATAGTTGGCTAAGGAAAACAATAAGTGATTTTAAGTTTAGTTTTTAAAAAGTAAAAACAATAAGTGTTCATTTGATGACAAATGCCAGTACATCAGAGTTAAAAAAAAAAAAAAAAACCCTTAAAATACAGAAAAAACATTTAAAAGTTAAATATATCCTTAAATCCAAAATTAGGTGCAGTATAGCATAATCTGTCATTAAGAAAAAATAGATTTTATCCATTTTGAATGTTTCTAACACTTATTAAATATGATGATGGTTACAGGTTTTTATCAGGTTAAGAATGTACCATCATTTCCATTCCCAATTCACTAAGAGTTTTATTTTTCCTAAACAAACAAGCTAAAGAACAATAGTTTATTTAAGATTATGTTTTTTATTTTATTTTTATTTATTATGAACTCTGAAGTCCAAATTTAATGTTATAAATAAAGCAGTTTTTATTGAAGTGATTCTAAGACAGGGAGGCTACAAGAGATAGAACAAAAAAATCAACAGATTCAAGAAGGTAGGGAAAATGAGAAGCTAGGGACTTGGGAGCTACAGAAGATGACCAATACCAGAAAGTAAAGTGAATGGCAAGTTAATGAACCAATTACAGAAGACTTTAAGGAATTTGGAGGGGATATAAGATTAAAAATTTAAAGTAAGTCATAGCTCTCAGGAATAAGGGATGAAAACCAGAATGGAGCAGCAAAGAAATAAAGATAACCTAACCTATTAGATGAATAGAGCAAGCTGACTTAGGAACTCCAATACGAAAAACCTATAAAAGCTTTAATAGAAGCAAACAATGTACAGAGAAACTATATACAGTAAAACCTCACGATGATGCAAATCCAGATAAAATATAATTGAAAATTGACTCCGCCGAGCATCTGTTCTTAATCAGGGCAGGCAGTCCTTTTCATGAGGGAAACAGGTAGTTGAGAATTATCTGCCTCATGATTTTTTTGACTTTCTCACTTCAGGAGATAGTCAATTGTGTATAGTAGTTTGACTGTCTTTACTTTTGTGCTTTTTATAACATCATTGACCAAAAAAAAGTATTTTTCATTTAGTCTCATAACGACAAAACTCTGCATTTAACATAAGTGAATTTTTGGTGAGATTTTATTGTACCTGTAACTGTTCTGCACATGAACTGTTCTTTAAGATTCCCTTGTACTTTATAGTATAAATAATAATGTATGTGATATATAAGAAGGCAACACTTTGATAGAAGTAGAAAAGGACAAAAGGAAAGCATGTAAGACTTTAAAGAAAAAGGAGGCAGGTGCAATAACTCATGCCTATAATCCCAACGGTAATCTCAACACTTTGGGAGGCTGAGGTGGGTAAATTGTTTGAGTCCGGGATTTCGAGACCAGCCTAGGCAACATGGCAAAACCAGTCTCTACTAAAAATAATTAGACTGGTGTGGTGGTGGTGTCTACAGTCCCAGCTACTTGGGATGCTGGGATAAGAAAATCACCAGAGCTCAGGAAGTCAAGGCTGCAGTGAGCCGTGATCTTGCCACTGCACTCCAAGCTGGGCAATGACAGTAAGACCCTGTCTAAAAAAAAAAAAAGAGAGGAAAAAAAAAAAAAAGAAAGAAAAGGAAGGAGAGGAGAGAAAAGAAAAAGGAAACTCTTTAATCATTTTGATGAAGGTAACAGAAAGTTTCCAGTGATAGAAAAGTCAAGAGTCTTCTTATTAATGTCTGTTTAATCAAAATGAACATTTTTCTCTTCTGAGATGAAGGGAAACCACACTTCTTTTTATCCCTCACTACTGTTGTTTAAAAATACGTATTAGAGGGATGAACACGTTAAAACACACACACGCAATTCAATTTGCTTGCAGGGGTAATACAAAAAGAAAATCTAACTTGAATAAGTAAGAATTTTAGAATTAGATTCATTATACCCCATCTGACCCCTCATTCACTCTAAAACCTACTGATTTAAGAAGAATCGAGGAATCATAAAGAATTCATAATAGTAAATTATCAAGTTATCTCCCTCTTCAACAAAATACAATCGCATCATTATTGAAAAAAAATTAGTTAAATTTCAAAAAACTCAGAATTATTTTATAAATCTTCAATAAGTAAACATAGAAACAAGAAGTTATCAGATTTCTTGACCTAAGCATTTATTTGCATGGAAATAAATTTTCATTTTAACTTAGATTTGAAGTAATGAAAGTTTATACTTCTTAATATTAGACCTTCTTCTAAAAGCATTCTATTAACAGTATTAAATCATCAATTGTCCTCAATTTTTAAAAAAATGATTATTTGAGTTTACTTTAAAATTCTACTTTATACTTCAATTAAAGCTTGGTTTCAAATATTCAGGGAAGTTACAAAAATCGGCAGTGTTATTATACTATATGAAGTACATCTTTACCTCTAGGCAATCATTGAAGAGGAAAAGAGTCACTTGTTCTCCTCTGTCACAGGGGTGCTCACCTAGAGAAATTGTTTCAACCCGTTGTATTAAGCTTCGGTGAGAAGATAAAAGATTAGCCTGTATAGGTTGAAAATATTAACAAAAGAGATCACTTGGTATCAAGTAACTTTTAAGAAGTTGTAATTTAAAAGAAAGTAGTGCCAAGATATTATTTATATTGAAACCACAGAAACCTCATTAACAAGAAGGAAAAAATAAAGTAATTATTGCTAAGAATACTTACTGGACATCCATCTACTTCATAAACAACATCAAAAATTTGCTTTTGAGCTTCTGTTTTTCTCTTATCCTCATTAATATGCCTGAAAAAGTGATTTTTAAAACTTTTAAAATAGAACATGAAAACTGCAACAAACACAACTTATGTCACAAGTTGTGTTTGATGTGAATGTCTTAATTTTGACAAGCGAATCAGTTAAAATATTCCTTAAAAGTATCCTATTACATTAAAAAAGTTTCCATGCCTATGGAGCCCAGGATGAGGAAAACAAACAAACAACTTCCAGCCAGGTGCAGTGGCTTGCGCCCATAATCCCAGCCCTTTGGGAGGCCAAGAGGAGTGGATCACTGAGGTCAGGAGTTCGAGACCAGCCTGACCAACATGGTGAAACTCTGTCTCTACTAAAAATATAAAAATTAGCTGTGTATGGCGGCAGGCACCTGTAATCCCAGCTACTCGGTGGCTGAGGCAGGACAATCACTTGAACCCAGGAGGCAGAGGTTGCAGTGAGTCAAGACCGCACCATTCCACTCCAGCCTAGGCAATAAGAGTGAAACTCTATCTCAAAAAAAACAAAAAACAAAAAACTTCCATAGACTCCTTCAGAAAAGTATGTTTTACTATTATTCCTTTCTATATTCTTTACTATACAGCCTATGCACTTTATAAAACACATTAAACCTGTACAAAATTAAGACTAATAAAATTTTGAAGTTCTCAATATAAGTTCAAATAAGGTTTTATGGAAGTCTTCCCAAGTCATAGGCTAATCATTTCACTGAAATAAAAACTAAGGCTACTGCTCCAGACAAGATAGAATAACAGGGGATGAACTTACTTTTCTGCCTGAAACAACTAAAAAAATCAGTCAAAATATAAAGAAACAAGGGTTCTCAAGACACTTAACATCCATTTCTGTGAAACAGAAACAAGACAAGCCCTACAACTGTCCTGGCTTATAGCCTAGAGAAAGCAAAGAAAGCACAGATAGTGCCTAGCTATATCCCTAAGAGAAAGAAACAAATGTGTGAGTCCAGTGTGATCAGATGCCTAGTTTGAAGGGCAAATTACTGGAAAACTGCTGCACAGAGAGAACTCCCTCTGTTTTCGGAAGGCTTCCTCGTGTACACAGTTCTCAACATGATCATTGCATGTGTGTAAGAAAACTATCCGAGGTTAGGGAAGACATGTTAAAAAATTAGAGGTAACAGTGCTCAGTGCTCATATGGCATGGAACGGTGACATCAATTAGAGTGGAAAACTTCAAGATTAATGTGACCTCAGGGTAGAGTACTAAGAAAGGTCTTTCCTCAATAGTGGGGAAAATTAACCCCAGACTAAATACTGTTCTGATTCTGCCTAACAAAGTTTAAGGGCAAGACATGAAAATATCAAACTGTTTGCAAGCTACTTAACTACATGCCAGGAGAAACTAAAAAACATTTTTAAGAATACAAAAATATCTAGCTCTCAGAAAAGTAAAACTGATAATGTCTAGAATCCAATAAAATAATACCAGGTATGCAAAGAAACAGGAAAATAAGACTAATGAGAAAAAAAAAAAAACACCTGAAACAGAGATGAGTGAATTAGTAAAGTTATTATACTCATGTCATAAATTCAAAAAACTGCAAGGAGGATTGAACATTTTAAGCAAAAACATGAAAGATATTTTTAAAAGATCTTATTTATTGACCAAATAAAAGTATCATTTTTCATTAGCCTCGTAACAACAAAATTCTGCATTTAACACAAGTGAATTTTTGGTGAGATTTGATTGTATCTGTAACTGTTCTGCACATGAACTGTTCTTCAAGATTTTCTTGCAATTCATATGTACATGATATATAAGGCGGCAACACTTTGGCGGAAGTAGGAAAGTACAAAAGGAAAGCATATAAGACTTAAAAGAAAAAGGAAGCAGTGGTCATTTCTGATGACCCAAATCAGTCAAACAGAGATAGAAGCTACAATGTTTTAGATGAAAAATACACTGGATGAGAGTAACAGCAAATTAAACGCTACAAAAGAAAAGCTTAGTAAAACTGAAGATAGCAATAATGTCAAAGTCAAAAATAAAATATAAATTTCTAATTTTACTTTTTATCAGGGAAGCAAGAATTATACTTCAGGGCATACATACTGACCAGGTGGTCTTCAAACAATCAAGTCTGTTCTAATAATAAAGAGAAGGCTGGGAGTTTTATTAGAAAGAGAAATGTGATTATGTATTGTTTTTAAAGAAAGTTCACTGACACTAGTAAAGTTTTGGGGAACTGGCAAGCTGAGTGGTGAATGATAGTAGTGAGTAAAACCAGTTACAGAGTCATGGCAGGTTGCTTCAGCAACTATTAGGTAAAACCGATTGTAGGATTATAGCAGGCCATTTTAAGCCGCTGGGCTTGTGGAAAGTTTAATAATTAGAACAGCTGCCATGAGCCCCGAGTGTTTTTCCCCTCTGGCCCTCAACTCTGATTTAGTTGGATATAACAAGAATGATCCAATTTTATATAATCAACGCTCACATTTACCCCTTTGATCAAGATCGTTCTCTGAAAGCAAAGCTAATCAATCATCTTGAAGTTAGGTTTAATTGTCCCTCAGGGCCTGGACAAACCTGTCCTGGCTGTCTCCATCCCACATTGTGGGGAAGATATAGAGGGTCTATGTCAGGGAGCTGGGCCACATTTGAGTATCAAAAAGGACAGAAGGGAAAATTTTCTCAGGGCAGGTTTGCCTGAAGTCCAGCACTGAGCTCCATCTTGTTAGTTCCATAAGTATTAGCAGCCATCTCAAAGTGTTAAGCTAACATTAACCTGTTGGGAGAGTTGGCTTTACAAAGATTACACAAGTAATAAAAACAAGGCTTAAAAATCATAACAAAAAATAATATAATAAATTCAGTTTGTACAATCATTTTGAAACAGAACACAAGCCTGATGGCAACTAACTAAACAAAAGACTGTTGTGGGTACTGGATGAGACTAATTGTTGTCATTGAGTAGTATTTTAGAACTGGGTTGAACTAAAGCAAAGAATGCCAACTCTACAGAAGGGACCACCAGTACATTTTGAACAATAAGTTGTGTTATAGATATTGCTAAAGTTACTAGTGGAATAAAAGGATTTCTTAGGGCAGGTTTTGTCAAGTTACTTATAGCAGTTACTGATTGTGAAATTTAATTACAGTATTATTTTGTCAAGCCAAAAAGACAGGCATGGAGTCTTGCCCCATTGTCTTGGGAAAGGCTGTCTACACCATTAAAAAAATGTCAACTTCCTGTCCTGGTTTGCAGTTTGAATGTCTCTGATTAAAGCATAAGATATTTTGGTGAATATTTTATGTGGCCCATACATCAGGCACAAGACTTGTTTCTTAAAATTTATCTAGTTTCCATTGACAGGGCTTTAGAAAAGTACAGTTCCCATTTTTAGCAATTTTATGGAAGACAGTTGGATTGGAGAAACCCGGAAGAATTTAGGATCTAGTCTATAGGTAGATAACAAGAATTCAAAAACAACCAACAGAGCGACACTCTAAAAGGTATATTATAGCTTTTTATTAGAAATATAACTTTTTTTCTATACTGATCACATATAAATCTCAGATTTTTAAAACCTCTTGAGGCTAGGAAACCAAACCAAGGCAGATTTTATATTTTACTTACAGTCTTAAGGTTCCTGGGTCTGCCAAGAAGTGACAGTTTTTAATTTACTCACTGTAAGGCTAGGAACCTTTGAAGGCAGGCATTTTATGCATATTGTCAAATATGACATTTCAGTCAAAGCCTTGGTAATATAACCTATGTTTTCAATTGTTTTCTGGTATAAAGAGAGCAGATTTCTATTAGACTTAGGTAAATAACTATATTGCTAAAAGAATGCTCAAAAAATTTTCAAATTGTGGAGGAATCAAATAGAAAAAAATGTTCTATCTATATTTACAAAAGCATACTTTATCAAACTGTTGTAAATTATAGATAGCTTGAGAGAGAAGATTTTCTTAAGTCTGGAAAACAAAACATTTGCATAAAGAACCAGTCATTAAAACATTATCTTCATCAGTTATTCAATCTTATGTAATTCATTTTTGTTCTGCTTGATCTCGTTTCATGAATCCAACAATTTTTTAAATTAGAGTCTTGGAAATTTTTATCAAGTCCATTGATCTTAAAGTTATCAGAAACTTGACTTAAGGGCACTTGTTAGAATCATTTTCATGATTATCAGTGCTTTTAGAGAAGAATTCAAAACCGTAACTAGATGACGAAAACTTAGAATAGCCATAGTCTAAGAAGCTGATGAAAGTTTGCAACTGACAACAAAATTCAGTTATCTCTATTAAACATGGCATTAAGATAACCAAAATTATAATAACAGACTTCTATAATTTATATAATTTGTGAAACATATCAACAAATACCCACAAATGCAACTAAAAGAAGATATAGTATCACTTATCATTTGTCAATGTCTTTTACACAGTTTATCAAATAAGCCTAATAATTTAATATCTCTCAAGATGAGAAAAATCTTTTGAGGCTTTCCAGGGGTTTCACCTCATAAATCTCAATTAAGTTTAGGTTAAAAAGACTAAAACTAGAATTTGATTTTGGGGAAGTTTGTTGAAGATGTTGAAAGTCTCAAGACATTTGATCAAAACAGGATCACAGGTCACTTGTGAAATAATAGTCATTTATGTAACCAGAGTGATAATCAAAAGGCTTTAAAAGGAATATAGAGCTACATGGATTAAAAAACAAAAAAAAAACCTTAACCTTTTAAAATCTCAGTTGTTTCTTTTGTATATTACGCATATGGGTTTTATTTTAAGTAATCAAAAACCTAATAAAGGCAACACAGGACATTTTCTTGATAAAACATAAAATCTGTTTCTTACACCAGTTATCAAAAGGCAAAGAAAAACTTTCTGCAGTATGATTGTTCCTTCTTGGGGGAAGCTCATTTAGATAACCTGAAGTTGAGCCAGATGAAAAGAGCACTTGAATTTAATTAGACAAAGGAACAATGTTACACAATAACTGTTAACAATTCAGACACATCACGAAAAGCCACAAGTAAAGGATCAAGGCCTTCAAGATGAACATTTTAGTGTCAGGATATAACAGCAGAGTTACAAACACAGAAAACAGTTATAAAAGCTTATAGAAAAAAGCTGAAGCAAAGAGTTATCAACCTATGCCTTCTCAAAAGGTGAAAAAGCAAAAGGTAGCAATGTATGACCTGAAAATCATGTGCTATGAGATACAGCAGAAGCTGAACCTCCAGCCGGGCATGGTGGCTCATGTTTGTAATCCCAGCACTTTGGGAGACCTAGGTGGGTGGATTGCTTGAACCCTGGAGTTGAGACCAGCTTAGGCAAAATGGCAAAAGCACATCTCTAAAAATAAATACAAAAAATTAGCCAGGCATGGTGGTGCACACCTGTAGTCCCACCTACTCGGGAGGCTGAGGTAGGAGAATCGCTTGAGCCTGGGAAGTGGAGGTTGCAGTGAGTCAAGATTGTGCCACTGCACTCCAGCCCGTGACAGTGAGACCCTGTCACTCAAACACACACACACAAGTTGAACCTGATACTTGAATCTGAGAAATTTCAGGAAAATGCTACCTTAAGAAATAAGGCTGGGTGTGATGGCTCATGCCTCCAACTCCAGCACGGTGGCAGGCCGAGGTGAGAGGATCACCTAACAAAGTGAAACCCCGTATCTACTAAAAATACAAAAATTAGCAGGGCATGGTGGCGTGCGCTGTAATCCCAGCTACTCAGGAGGCTGAGGCAGGAGAATCGCTGGAACCCGGGAGGCAGAGGTTTCAGTGAGCGGAGATCACACCAATGCACTATAGCCTGGGTGACTGGGTGAGACTATCTCCAATAAATAAATGAATTAATTAATTAAAATAATCATTTTAAATAAAGAAGACAGTATTTTTAACCGGAAATGGGGAAATTAAATAGATGCCAGAAGAAATGTAGGACAAAACAGAAAACGCCCGCAGTTTAGAAGATGGCTGATAAACAGATTCTGGAATTAAAAATTAAAACCTATTGCAATTTTATTAAAAGTTGATCAATACTTCAAGTAAAACTCATTGTTTTAAACATAGAGATTCAGACTTTGGTCCTAGATCAATCAGTGCACTCCTGACACCAATGTTTAATTTTTAGAAAAAACTTACAAAGAAATCCTTTCCAACCCTGTCAACCTGATCACACATAAACCTTCCTTTATAAAGCCCAGCCTTCATAAACCCTCTGTGACTTGTTTAGATCCTTTATCATTTTCTCGAACACCTACTTAGTCCTATAATTTTTCGTTTTTGATATTGGAGCAACCATTTTGCCTTAGAACAAAAATTTATCACACACATTTAAAAATTATTATTTAACTAAAAATACATCTTTATATCCATAACTATCTTTGCATCTCTCTCTCCCCCTCTCCCCCACACTGGTTTCTCCTCCAATTTTAATTTTCTTCTTAAATTTATATTTTGAAACAAACTTTAAATAACCTGTGAATTTGACAAAATCATTATTTTTTAATTAAAAAAACGCATTGTCCTCTTATAATGTTATGTGTATTAATAGATCTAAGCATATTTAGTATTTTTATAAAATTTACGAATCCAAGAACCAGCCTATTTATATTCAGCAATTTGTTTTCATTTTTCTCTTATTTGGATATGACTCAGGCATTTAATGAGCTGTCTATTACTTAATTTAATGTAACATAACTTAAAGATTTCAAATTACTTGCAAAGTTTAGTTATAAATGTTTATCCCATTTACAGTTACATAAATTTTTTAGCAATTATGCCTAGATTCATTATGAAATTTGAGGTATTAGAGCTAGTCATTATTTTAAGTTACTTTTTACTAATCAGAATTATAACCTGTTAATATCAGATATTTACCTAAGTAAGAACCTAAAGTGAAATACATGGGTATGTTGTAAATAACTCAGAAGATACAGCTGTTTTTATTAAATCAATAATATTAATTTAATCTCACATATCAAAGAATTACATGAAGATCATTTCAATTTAGGCTGGACTTAAAGCTCCATGACTTTAAAACATTTGGCAGCAACAAACATAAAACTGTTTAACTACTAATTCCAAGCAAAAATGTATTTTGACAATTTTGAAAGACTTTTTTTTTTTTTTTTTTTTTTTTGATAGCATCTCACTCTGACACCCAGGCTGGAGTGCAGTGGTGCAATCTTGGCTCACTGCAACCTCCACCTCCTGGTTCAAGCGATTCTCCTGCCTCAGCTCTGAGTAGCTGGGACTACAGGCACACACCATACCACCACGGCTGGCTAATTTTTGTATTACAATAGCATCAAAAAGAATAAAATACTTAAGAATAAGTTTAACAAGAAACCCACAAAGCTTATCCTCTGAAAAACCACAAAATACAGTTGAAAGAAATTAAAAGTAAATAAATGGAAATATTCATAAATCAGAAGATTTAATACTGCTAACATAGGCCAAGTGCGGTGGCTCATGCCTGTAATCGAAGAACTTTGAGAGGCCAAGGTGGGTGGATCACCCAAGGTCACGAGTTCGAGACCAGCCTGGCCAACAAGATAAAACCCCATCTCTACTAAAAACACAAAAAATTAGCCAGGCGTGATGGTGCACACCTGTAGTCCCAGCTACTCGGGAGGCTGATGCTGGGGAATCACTTGAACCCGGGAGGTGGAGATTGCAGTGAGCCGAGACCATGCCACTGTACTCCAACCTGGGTGACAGCGAGACTCCGTTTCAAAAAATAATAATAATATTGCTAAGATAATACTCCTCAAATTGATGTACAAATTCAATAAAATTCCTATACACATTCCCCACAGTTTTTTGTTGTTGTTGTTTTTCGGAAACTGACAAGATGCTCCTAAAAGCTACATGCCGGGCCCCGGACCCTGCAGCCGCCGAGATGTTGATGCCTAAGAAGAACCGGATTGCCATTTACGAACTCCTTTTTAAGGAGGGAGTCATGGTGGCCAAGAAGGATGTCCACATGCCTAAGCACCCGGAGCTGGCAGACAAGAATGTGCCCAACCTTCATGTCATGAAGGCCATGCAGTCTCTCAAGTCCCGAGGCGACGTGAAGGAACAGTTTGCCTGGAGACATTTCTACTGGTACCTTACCAATGAGGGTATCCAGTATCTCCGTGATTACCTTCATCTGCCCCCGGAGATTGTGCTTGCCACCCTACGCCGTAGCCGTCCAGAAACTGGCAGGCCTCGGCCTAAAGGTCTGGAGGGTGAGCGACCTGCGAGACTCACAAGAGGGGAAGCTGACAGAGATACCTACAGGCGGAGTGCTGTACCACCTGGTGCTGACAAGAAAGCCGAGGCTGGGGCTGGGTCAGCAACCGAATTCCAGTTTAGAGGCGGATTTGGTCGTGGACGTGGTCAGCCACCTCAGTAAAATTGAAGAGGATTATTTTGCATTGAATAAACTTACAGCTAAAAAACCTTAAAAAAAAAAAAGAAAAAAAAAAAGCTACATGCCAAATTTATGGAACTCAGAATAGCAAAACCAATTCTGAAAAAGAACAAAATTGGAAGACACATACTTCCCAATTTCAAAACTTAAAGTACAGTAATCAAGGCAGTGTGATACTGGAATAAGCACAGACATACAGATCAATGAAACCGAACTGAGAGTAAAAAAATAAACCCTTACATTTATGGTCAGCTGACTTTCAGCAATGGTACAAAAACAATTCAGTGGAGAAAGGATACTCTTTGCAACAAACACTGCTAGAATAGATTTCCATATTTTAAAAAATAAACTTCAATCTATACCATGTGCTATGTACAAAAATTAACTCAAAATGGATCATAGACCTAAATGAATTTTACCTAAAGACTAATCCCACAAACATTCTTAAAGAAAATAAGAAAAAAATCCTTGTGACCTTTGGTTAAGCAAATATTTCTTAGATAAAACTATAAAAGCACAATCCACTAAAATAAAATTTGCTAAATTAGACTTAAAAATCTAGAACTCTTATTTTTTCAAGAAATTGTAAAAAGAAAAAAGCAAGCCAGAAACTAGGAGAAAATATTTGCAAATCATGTATCTTTTTTTTTTTTAAAGCCTTTTAACTCAAATATATAAAGAACTCTCAAAATTCAATTACAAAAAAAAAAAACACAATTTTTTTTCAAGTAGACAAAAGATTTGAACAGGCATATCACCAAAGAAAGTAATACGACAGCAAACAATCACATGAAAAGACATTTAACATCATTTGTCATGAAAATGCAAATCAAAACCACCAGGAAAGACAACCAAACATCTATTAGAATGTCACAAATTAAAATGACTGGCCAGGCCAGGTGTGGTGGCTCACACCTGTAATCCCAGCACTTTGGAAGGCTGAGGAGGGTGGATAGATTGAGGTCAGGAGTTCGAGACCAGACTGGCCAACATGGTGAAACTCTGTCTCTACTAAAAATACTAAGCTGGGCATGGTGGCAGGTGCCTGTAATCCCAACTACTTGGGAGGCTGTGGCAGGAGAATTGCTTGAACCAGGAAGGGGGAGGTTGCAGTGAGTAGAGATTGTACCACTACACTCAAGCCTGGGCAAAAGAGTAAGACTCCATCTCAAAAAGTAAGAATAAAAAAGTAAAAAATAGGCCGGGAGCAGTGGCTCATGCCTGTAATCCCATCACAGACCGAGGCAGGCAGATGATGAGGTCAGGAGATCGAGACCATCTTGGCTAACATGGTGAAACCCCGTCTCTACTAAAAATACAAAAATTAGCTGGGAGTGGTGGCGTGTGCCTGTAATCCCAGCTACTCGGAGGCTGAGTCAGGAGAATCACTTGAACCAGGGAGTCGGAGGTTGCAGTGAGCCGAGATCGCGCCACTGCACTGTAGCCTGGTGACAGAGACTCCATCTCAAAAATAAATAAAAAATGAAATCACTGACCATACCAATTGTTGGTAAGGACGTGGAAACTCTGGAACACCACACACTGTTGGTGGGAATGCAAAATAATACAACCGTCTTGCCAACAGTTCGGCAGTTTCTTAGAAATGCATACACCTTGCTGGGTGCAGTAGCTCCACCTATAATTCCTGCACTTTGGAGGCCAAGACAGGCAGACTGCTTGACTCCAGGAGTTTGAGACCAGCCTAGACAACACAGTGAAACCCCGTCTCCACAAAAAAAAGAAAAAAGTAGCCAGGTATGGTACCACAGCACCAGTAGTCCCAGCTACTCAAAAGGCTGAGGTGGGATGATCACTTGAGCCTGGGAGGTGGAGGTTGTAATGAGCCAACATTATACCACCACATTCAAGCCTGGGTCACAGAATGAGATACCACCCCCTCCACCAAAAAAAGGAAAAACCTACTATCTGACCTGCCATTCCTATTCCTAGGAATTTATTCAAGAGAAATGAAGGCACATGTCTATACAAACTTGTTCACAAATGTTCACAGCAGCTTTACTTGGAATAGCCAAGAACTGGAAACAACATGAAAAGGGATGAATTGTGATACAGTCATACAATGGAAAATAAAAGAAAATTAACTATTGAAATAAGCAACAATAAGGACTAACCTCAAAGTAATTATGCTGAGTAAAAAAAAAAAAAGAAAAAAAAAAAAGCCAGACAAAATATTCCATGTGTATCAAATCATAGAAAGTGCATATAGGCATACCTCACTTTATTGTGCTTTACTTTATTGTGCTTCACATACAGAGTTTTTTCTTTGTTGTTGCTGTTGTTGTTTCACAGATTGAACGTTTGTAAGCAACCCTGTGTCAAGTAGGTCTATCATGTCATTTTTCTAACAGTACGTGCTTACTTCATGTCTCTATCACATTTTGCTACTTCTCTCAATATTTCAAACTTTCTCATTATTATTTTATCTGTTACAGTGAGCTGTGATCAGTGATCTTTGATGTTACTATTGTAATTGTTTTGGGACACCACAATGCCGATGAGACATCAAACCTAATTGATAAATGTGTGTGTATTCTGAGTGCTCCACCAACTAGCCATTCCCCCCACCTCTCTCTCCTCTTGCTTCTCCATTCCCTGAGATACAACAATATTGAAAGTAATAACCAACCCTGCAACGTCCTCTAACTATTTAAGTGAAAGGAGGAGTCACACATTTCTCACTTCAAATCAAAAGCTACAAATGGTTGAGTTTAGTAAGAGAGGCAAGATGAAAACAGAGATAGTCCTAAAGCTACTCCTCTTGCACCGAACAGCGAAACTGTGAATGCAAAAGAAAAGTTCTCGAAGAAAAATGAAAAGTGTTACTCCAGTGACATGAATAATAAGTAAAACAACCTTATTACTGATATGGAGCATGTTTGAGTGGTCCAGACAGAAGATCAGACCAGCCTTAACAATCCAGAACAAGCCCCTCTCTAATTCAGAACAAGTTTTTAACTCTCTTCAATTCTGCAAAAGCTGTGGGAGGTAAGAAAGTTGCAGAAGAAAAGTTTGAAGTTAGCAGAGTTGGTTTATGGAAGTTTAAGAAGCTATTTCTGTAACATAAAAGTACAAGGTGAAGCAGCAAGTGCTAATAGAGAAGCTACAGCAAGTTATCCAGAAAATCTAGCTAAGATAATTGAAGAAAGTAGCTCTACTAAACAACAGATTTTCAGTGTAGACAAAACAGCCTTCCAGTAGAAGGTGCTTTCTAGGACTTTCACAGCTAGAGAGAAGTCAATGCCTGGTTTCAGAGCTTCATAGGACAGGCTGACTCTTTTGTTAGGGGTGACTGACTATGTTGAAGCCAATGATCATTGACCATTCTGAAAACACTAGGGCCCTTATGAATTATGCTAAATTGACTGTCTGTGCTCTATAAATGAAACAACAAAGCATGGATGACAGCACATCACCATGGTTTACTAAATTGTCTTTTTTGTTTTTGAGACAAGAGTCTTGTTCTGTCATCCAGGCTGGAGTGCAGTGGCACAATCGGTTCACTGCAACATCCAGCTACTGGATTCAAGCAATTCTCATATGTCAGCCACTGAGTAGCTGGGATTACAGGTGTGCATCATCACACCCAGCTAATTTTTGTACTTTTAGTACAGACGGCGTTTTGCCATGTTGGTCAGGCTGGTCTAAAACTCCTGGCCTCAAATGATCTGCCCACCTTGGCCTCCCAAAGTGCTAGGATTACTGGCATGAGCCACTGTACCCTGCCCTACTAAATCTTTTAAGCCCACTCTTGAGACCTACTGCTCAGAAAAATATTCCTTTCAAAAGATTACTGCTTATTGACAATATACCTGGTCATCCAAGAGCTCTGATGGAGATGTACAAGGAGATTTTGTTTTCATGCCTGTCAGCTCAACATCCAATTCTGCAGCCCATGAATCAAGGAGTAATTTCAATTTTCAAGTCTTAAGAAACACATTTCACAAGGCTATAGCTGCCACAGATAGAACAGATCCATCAGAAGAGTCACAAGAATCACTAAGTCAACTGAAAACCTACTGGATGATATCCAAAAGAGCAAAGAATATTTTTCCAAGTAGAAGTGAGCACTGGGATATTTTAGTGCCAGGCTGCAGTGGACAGCCACAACAAAACCTCTCTTTTATTTTCTTTTCATAAGTAAAACACTAGACTCTAGATTCAGCTGAGATGTGGTGTGTTACAAAGCAGGCCTTTCCTACAGGGGTTACAGAGGCCGGCGTTTCTTCCCTTGGTAGGAATGGCGTGAGCTGTGTTGTGGGGCAGGCCACTGGTTTGCAGGCTGTATCATTAGAGGGCATAAGCCAATTGATCTTTTGCAGTTTCTATTAAACTTGAACTGACAAAAAAAAAAAAAAAGAAAAAGAAAACCTACTGGAAAGCATTCACCATCTGGGTTGCCATTTAAGACCTTACATCGGGCAGGTAAAACTGAGAGTGAGAGATAGGAGGCAAGGGTAGAGACCTCAAGGAAGTAACTGTCAAGGTTCAGAGAGCCTGCAGTGGTCAGCAGCAGAGAGGTGAGGGAGACAAAACCAAAAGCCAGAGCTCAGCCAAGGAGGAGGTACAAATTAAAACGAAGGGGAAAAAAAAAAAAAAAAGAACATTTGTCAATAGTGGGAGGTCAAAATATCGACATTAATAGTTTGGAAGAAGTTGATTCCAATCCTTACGGATGACTTTGAGGGGTTCAAGATTTCAGTTGCAGAAGGAATTGCAGATGTGGCAGAAGTAGCAAGTGGACTACAATTAGAAGTAGAGGCTAAAGATGGGACTGAATTGCTGCAATCTCATAAACAAACCTGAACAGATAAAAGAGCTGCTTCTTACATATAAGCAAAGAAAGTGGTTTCTTGAGATGGAATCTACTCCTGGTGAAGATCCTGTGAACATTGTTGAAATGACAAGAAAGGATTTAGAATACTACTTAGTTGATAACATGGTGTAAAAATCTAAGAGAACTGACCCCAACTTTGTAGTTTAATATGGGTTAAATTCTGTCCAACAGCACTGCATGCTACAGAGAAATCGTTCATGAAAGGAAAAGTCCATTGATATGGCCAACTTCACTGCTGTCTTATTTTAAGAAAGTGCCGGCCGGGTGTGGTGGATCATGCCTGTAATCCCAATACTTTGGGAGGTTGAGGTGAGCAGATCGTTTTGAGTTCAGGAGTTTGTGACCAGCCTGGGCTACATGGCAAAACCCCATCTCTACAAAAAACCATAAAAATTAGCTGGGTGTGGTGGTGCACACCTATAATCCCGGCTACTCAAGAGGCTGAGGTGGGAGGAGGTGGAGGCTGCAGTGAGTTGAGACTGTGTCACTGCATTCCAGCCTGGGTGACCAGAGTGAGACCCTGTCTCAAAAACAAAAACAAAAACAAAAAAGAGAGAGAGAGAGAGAGAAACAATTACCACAGCCATCCCAGCCTTCAGCAACCACCACCCTGGTAAGCAGTCATCAACATCAAGGCAAGATCCCCCACTAGCAAAAAGACTATAACTTACTGAAGGCTCAGATAATTGTTAGCATTTTCTTTTTTCTTTTTTTTTTTTTTGAGATAGAGTCTTGCTCTGTCATCCAGGCTAGAGTGCAATGGTGCAATCTCAGCTCACTGCAACCACTACCTCCTGGGTTCAAGCGATTCTCCTGCCTCAGCCTCCCAAGTAGCTGGGATTACAGACACCCACCACCGCACCTGGCTAATTTTTGTATTTTTAGTAGAGACAAGATTTCACCATCTTGGCCAGTCTGGTCTCGAACTCCTGACTTCATGATCCACCCGCCTCAGCCTCCCAAAGTGTTGGGATTACAGACGTGAGCCACCACGCCCCACCTGTTGGCATTTTTAACAATAATTTTTCATTAAGGTATGTACATTAATTTTTAAACATAATACTACTGCACAATTCACAGGCTATAGTATAGTGTAAACATAACTTTTATACGCCCTGAGAAATGAAAAAATTTACACGACTTGCTTTATTGGGATATTTCCTTTATTGTCACGGTCTGCAACCTAACCCGCAGTATCTGAGGCATTCCTAAATTACAGTGATAGACGGTTGCCTTGGGAAGGGTAAAACAGGATGGGCCAGAAAAAGAGATTACCAAGGCGCATGAGTAAATGTTGGGGGTGATGGAAATGTTCCTCATCTTGATTATAGTGACGGTTTCATGGGAGCATATGTGTGCTGAAATTAATCAAACTATATTTTAAATATGCGTAGTTTAAGAAAAAAGCCATATTTGAAGTAACTAAAAACATATATCTACAACAAATATTGAAAATCTAAGCATGTATAACTGATGTTGCTAGAATCCAATTTTAGTAGGGTTTTTAGTTTGCTTAAATGGCAAGGACTAGTGAATTGGTGCTGTGTCATTATTTCCTGCATCTGACGGTGCAGGTTACGGTGGTTTTAATCAACCATAATAAGCATTAAATCTCTAGGCTAAATGTTCAAGAATCTTGAGAATTTAGATCTGGTAAAATTCTATAAGGCTTCTAAATCAGCATCACAATTCGACATTAAAATATTAGCTCCTATAATTTAACATTTATTGAAAATCTATGAGAAAAGCACTTAGGGTAAGGATATACTAAAAATAGAAGTTCTCAAGAAACTTAAATAATGTCTTACTGATTCAGCCCATTATCCCTCCAGCAGCCAGCTTGACACTATTCTAAAGAAGGCAACAGGTCAAATGACTAATCATTTGCTACTTTTCCTTACTTATTTTATAATCTTTGCTTACCAAAGTATATTATATATAAATAACAAATAGCATAGCCACTTGTAGAGTATTCTACACTCCAAACAGATAAATTGAGCAAGTAACAACATCTCAGTTTCTTTTATAAAAATATGAAAATAATGACTGCCTACTTCATAAAGTTGGTTGAAAAGATCAAGGTAAATAATGTGTGTCAGAGTACTTTAAACCATAAGGTGTTGAAAAATTACAGAGAATTGTCATCATAATAGTCTCAATACCATTATCCTGGTCCCAGGGGAAAAAAATCAAAAGCATGATGGCTGGCTGGTGAACGTACAAAACACATAAGCAAACAAGAAAACAAAACAAAACAAAAAAAGTATATACACTTGGCCCCCCATATCTGCAGATGCTGATTGTAGGGGACTTGAGCACCTGCAGATTTTGGTATCTGAGGGAGTCTTGGGACACCTGTTTACATAACCCTTTCAGCAACAACAAAAGCTGGTAATAACTAATTTGAGCATTATTGTCTCAAATAAGAGAATGAGAGAGAGGTCTCCGCTGAATCCCCTCTCTAGAGCTAGTGAAGTTTCTCTTTAAGAGCCCTTCTGGAAGCCTTTTAAGAAACTCTCATACAGAAGCACCCTGGAATCTCAGAAATTAATTAAATCTATTAAATACACTGATATATAAAGTCCGCTTAAAGTACCTTCTCTGAGGCGAAACAGAAACAGCCAATAGCAAGAGAGTTTTCCACTCTGCTCCTAACATTTCTGATCAGTCCTGCTTCCAACAGGCTACAGTAAGCAGCCTAAGTTTATGATCAAACTCCCCAAATCAATTTCATTGAATTTATACTTATAATACATTTCCAACCAATCCTGCCAATTCAATTCCACAGAACTCTAGGTAGAAAACAAAAAGTTTAAAAATTAATGTGAAAAAGTATTATAAACTTTAAATTTCACTGTGGTCACATTCTCAAGTTACATTTGGGCAATCCACATTAATATGAAGACAGAAACAAGCTATGACTAGAGTTATATGAAGAAAATGTCTATTAGCGAATTTGTAACATTTTCAAGTTTCTAAACTATTATTCTCTGTGCACAATAGTTTAATACCTTCAGAAATAAATGTTTTGATTAATGAATGTATTCTTAAAACACTTCATTTTAATGTGTAACTACACTATTAGAAAAATAATTTAGACATTTCACAAAAATTTGCTATTGATACTTTCCTATTTATGATTCTAGTTTTCTATTAATTCCATTCGAAATCTAAGGCACGATCAAAAATTGAAAATAATGCACTTACATCATTACTTCCTTTAGTGATCCAATAGCTTTTTCTAAAGTGCTTTTGTCTGGATTTTCATCAGCTGTATGCTTCTTAAGATCTGTAATAACACAATGTTTTTCCATGCATAAAAAAATTCAGTGATTTCTCATCTAAGACTAAACTGCTGTCCATCTTGATATAGCTAATTTTTAAAGACAATATTCAATCTTTACTTAAAAAAAGTTTTAAGCACTGTTCCCTAAAAGCTCTCTTATTACACATCTGTTAAGGTTTCCATTTTTACTGACTAAATTTTCAGAATATGTAATCCTGATTTTCTTACACTGCTGTTCCAATCCCTTCAAGTAATACTTGGGGACTCCTAAAGTCCTCAAACTTTCTCCATAGTGCTAAATGAAAACACATGATCCTCAATAAGCTCAGAAATCATAATGTATTTTGAGTTTCATACTGGGGCCCCTGGCTACATCACAGAGAGCATCTGCTATCTTTAAGCACAGATTTTGGTACCTTAGAGATTTATACTTAATACATTGACTCTTCTAATCCAGGTTGTTTATTTGTGTTCCCTGTGCCATCCTTGGCATATTCTTATCAAATCTAGGTTTAATCTAGTACCACTGTCCACCTAATCTCTCATGTGGAATAATAGTAATAAAGCCTAGAAATCATTTTATTTATAACGTTTATGAATTTCTACAAGTACTTAATAATGAAGATATGCAAATTAGAAGAAAACCACAATGTTTTGGAAACCTGAAGTCTGTTCATATATTCTCCTTATAATTTGTAAATCAGAATAGTTTTAAATAGTGGACAAATCTTTTTATAAGCCAGTAATTCTCAACTATGTAACTCTAAAAAACAAAAAAAAAGTCAAAATTTTAGTTAGTACTATAATTCACATACTAACCAAGATTTTTACAGAAAATAACAGATTAAACAGTCACAAAATTTGCCTCCTTGTCTGCTGTAAATATTAGTGTAGATTTAGCTTAGGAATTAAATATTTTATTATAGACTTTTTCCTGTTTATAATTTAGTTATCCTCCTTTTTTTTTTTTAATTATTTTTAGAGACTGGGTCCCTGTATGTTGCCCAGGCTGGTCTCCAACTCCCGGGTTTACCCTCAGTGTTCCAAAGTGCTGGAATTACAGGCTATAATTTTGTTTTCATACTTAAGAATAAAATAAAAATGGATACTGTCCTTAGCCAGCTAAATATAACAGAATATATATACACATTTTTTACCACAGGCAAAATTTATGCAGACAAATTATCTGCTGTAAAATTCCCTTCTATTGATATCTATAGTTCAGTTCTAGAAGAAACAGGTATGTTTCAAGAGTACTCTGAACAATCTAAGGTCAAAAAAAGTAAGCAAAAAGCCAAGTATATAGAACTTTACTAAAATTCAAAAACAGGCTACAAAAACTTGGGATGTACAAATTATCTTCTCGTGATTTTGTGGGCAAATTTTGTATGTACTTGGATGTAAAATGATTTTGAATTAGTGACACACCATGAAATATTAAGAAAACTTTTAAATGAAAAGACAAGGCCGGGCGCGGTGGCTCAAGCCTGTAATCCCAGCACTTTGGGAGGCCGAGACGGGCGGATCACGAGGTCAAGAGATCGCGACCATCCTGGCGAACACGGTGAAACCCCGTCTCTACTAAAAAATACAAAAAAACTAGCCGGGCGAGGTGGCGGGCGCCTGTAGTCCCAGCTACTCGGGAGGCTGAGGCAGGAGAATGGCGTAAACCCGGGAGGCGGAGCTTGCAGTGAGCTGAGATCCGGCCACTGCACTCCAGCCTGGGCGACAGAGCCAGACTCCATCTCAAAAAAAAAAAAAAAAAAAAAGAAAAGACAAAATATATACTACTAATCAAAATAAAATATTTCAGGCCAAGCTGAATTTTAGTAGCACCAGTGACTATTTTTTAAGATAATCCATAAAGTAAAACATACATAAACTTTAATGCTGAAATCTAAGAAACTCTAAAAATGAGAAGAAATTCAACTTTTTTGGGAAAAACAATTCTATTAAAATATCTGACGTAGTTTGAAACAGATCAGACAGGTACCGTTTAAAAGTAATGCAACACTGGGTAACCTCTGTACTGGTCGGATAAGAAGTTCAACAAGGCTCTGCCGTCCACATTCTGGTTTTGCTTGGTTTATCTGAAAAAAATTTATTCAACAATTTCAAAAAAGGTTTTCTGCAAAGATTATATGCCCTACTTTTACTGGATTACACTTTATCATTAGTGTCCCTGATACAAACTAATAGAGAAGAGGTGGAATTTCTCTGTGGTAGATTACTTGGCTGAATAATTTTCCAGGGCCTGAAATGGCCTCTTGGCCAGCCAGTGGTTAACATCTTACATAAAAAGTGAGTTCCTCTACACACTCCTATATATCCCACCTTAAATTTCTCTTAAGTCTACATCATTCACAAGAAAAAGTACATTTAATAATATTAATTATGCTAATACCACTAAATAAACAAAGTAAGGAACTGATAAGAAAAAAAATCATTAAAAGCAAAACAAATCTCACTGGAAAATCATTAGGTGTTTTGAAAACTAAAATACATAAAACTTTTTCAAAAACTTTTTGTAGAGATGGGAGTCTCACTATGTTGCTCAGGATGATCTCAAACTCCTAGCCTCAAGCAATCCTCCCTCATCAGTCTCCCAAAGTGCTAAGATTACAGGCTGACATTGGCCAGTGCACCTGGCCACAACTTCAAAAAAAAAAAAAAAGGCCACATATAACATTCTTATTCCTTCAACCACCTCCTGGCACCTAACACTGAATATAACAAACCTTCCAAAGCTAAACATCATGGTCACCCACAAGTACAACTAAAACTAACAGATATTAATAGATACATTTTACTAAAGTTAAAATTTACTTCATTGTTTCATAATTTTGGTGAATTACTTCAGAAATAATTCTCAAATTTTTATTTGAAAGAAATATACATTACCTTGAGAAAAGCATGAAATCTTGGTTTCTGTTTTTCACATTTAATAATTGTTTCCTTGCTCATTTCAAAGAAGTTTACAAAGGGAGGGTAGGTTTTTACCAAATCTTTTGACTAGAAAGAAAAGGGAGGAAAACATTATTTGTTATGCATTTGTCACCCTTAGAGACAATGTAACTTAAAGTCAAATAATTAATAGTCACAATCTGAAATATTGGATACAAAGTTTAAAGTAAGTTTTGTCTCAAATTAAATATAGGAATTTATTTCATAAATTTCTCAGTAAAGAATTGCTAAACAAAATACATCAATTGGTATACATAGTCTAAAACATGAAAACACCCAGAAAAAAAACAAAAGATATGTTAAAGCTTATTGTGTTGATACAAACATGATAAAGAAAACGTCTATGAGTTTAAAAAATATTAATTAAATTACAGCTGATCTATGTAGATTCCAAAAGCATGGTATTTATTCAAAAATCCAAACCGTCATTAAAAGACCAGTTATATTACCCAAAAATGCAAGCAAGAAAAGGAAAAGTGTTGGCTGATTGAGAAAACTAAAAAGTATCAAAAAAAAATGAGAAAAGAATTTGTAAATTTTTAATTCTCAACCAAACTGAAAAAACACCTAAGAGATTATTTTGTAAGGTAAGAAGTTAGAGGCCTCAAAAAATAAAAGTATAAATGCCAGTGCTCAAGGCACTGAAACTTACAAATCCTATTTAAAGAGATTCAAAGAAACATATAAATTCTATTCATAGAACCTTGTCGAAATGAATTTATAAAACTTAAGTTGTGTGGTTCTTATCCTAGTAAGAGGCAGTTCATTAGAAGCCTTTAAATAGAAACAAACATGACAGCAAAAAGTGTTATCAACTAAGAAGGGAGAAAAATAAAAACTTCTTTGTACATCTGGTAGAATTCAGCAATACTCACAATAGCAAAGACATGGAGTCAACCTAAGCGCCCATCAATGATAGACTTGATAAAGAAAATGTGGTGCATATACACTACGGAATGCTATGCAGCCATTTAAAAAAAAAAAAAAATGCGAGATCATGTCCTTTGCAGGAACACAGCTGGAGCTGGAGGGCATCATCCTTAGCAAACTAACAAAGGAACAGAAAACCAACACCACACATTCTCACTTGTAAGTGGGAGCTAAATGATAAGAAGACATAAACACATAGAGGGGAACAACACATACCTGGGGCCTTTTGGAAGGTGGAGGGTAGGAGGAAGGAGAGGAACAGGAAAAATAACGAATAGGTACTAGGCTTAACACCTGGGTGATGAAACAATCTGTACAATTAACCCCCATGACACAGTTTTACCTATGTAATAAACCTGTACATGTACTCCTGAACTTAAAATGAAAATTAAATAATATATAAAATGAAAATACAATCTGTGGCCATTTATGAAGGGCAAATAACTTGATACATACTAAAACAATTATAGTACAGCATGATAATTTGCATTCTTCTAATAATCTTGAGCTATTAAGGTGTTAAATTGCATATAAAAGGCATGTTTCAGAAGACAAAGAACATTTCCAATATATTTTATAAACACAATCATGTCAAAGTTTTAAAACCTCTCACATTTAAATAGGTAAATTACATTCCTTGCCAGTCCTTGATGAGATCATATTTTAATCTGAAAACTTAAAAAGGAAATACAATACTTACATATTTCAGAAAAATGTCACCAATGCTTTTGCTCTCATCCCAATTAACTATAAGGTCTTCGAGATCATCCTGAAATAGCACGAGTTGAAATATTTAAAATTAAACCTGACAGCTCCTTATACAACTTTTAAAATTTCCGAGATACTCGTTGGAAAGAAGCACTTTACAGTGTCTGAATTTGATGTGTAAAATAATGAACATCCCATTCTTTCTCTTCAACAAGGAATTAACTTTTACTACAAAAAAAAATCCTTTGAAAAATAATTTTTAAAATATAAAGTCAACAAGTCTAACTTTCCAATATGATGTGATAACTCAATATTTTTTTCTTATTAACTATAAAGCTGATCGGTGTTATTAATTAAAGAAAACTACTTTCAATCCTGCTGCTGAAGCATCTTATTTAACATCAGTCATTAAAAACTGTAATCTCTAACGGGGGTCAGCAAATTTAAAAGTATGAATAAATGAGTGTGGCTGTGTTCCAATAAAATTTTTTTTAACCAAAACATGCAATAGGCTGGATTTGGCCCATGAAGCATAGTTTGTTAATTCTTCATGGTCTTTCTAAAATATTACTTCTTTGTAAAAACTTAGAAGAACATTTAAAAGCTTTATAATAAACAAACAAATCAGATAAAATGAGATGCCAAGAAATGGTATGCCCTAATTGAAATTCTAAGTGATTTTAAAGTACACATCAATCGACAAGCTCTTATACTAAAGACTCTCTAAAGTTTCATCAAAGACTGCTGGGACACCCTTTCAGTGGGATCCCTGAGATTAAAATTATTTTTGTAATACTGCTAAAGCATTATTTGACTTTTTCACTCATTCTCTCACAAGTATACAGTTGTTTTCTAGAAGCGACATGATATGTGATATTGCAACAGACTGAACGCAGAAGCAGATATGAAAACCAGTCTTCTATTAAGCCAGACAGTAAAAAAACTACAATACCACCACTCCCCTTACTAATTATTTTTGTTTGGGAAATTATTTTTCTTAAAGAATGGTACTTGTGTTGCGATGTAATTAGTTATATTTTAAGTGAATTAATATAAAATTAGATATCCCACATGCAAAAAGATGAAATTAAACCCTCACATCAAGCAAAACAACTTTTGAAATAAACAATCTTCAAAATCTTGAGTTAGGAAAAAAATTTCTAGATATGACACTGAAATCACAGTCCATAAAAAATGAATACAATGAACCTCATCAAAATTTAAAACTTTTGTATTTCAAGAAAACTTGTATCCAGAATTTACAGAGAAGCCTTACAACTCAAGAAGACAATCCAATTAAAAAACAGGCTATAGACAGTAGCCATTTCACAAAAAATAATATACAAATGGCTAATAACCATGTGAAAAGACACATCATTAATCATTAAGGAAATACAGTTAAAGCCACAAGAGATGTCTCCTCACCCACTAGGATGGTTATAAGGTAAGAAAAAAAAGATAAGTGTTTTTCAAGAATGAGGAGAAGTTGCAACTCTCATTCATTACTGGTGAAAATAACAACTGATGGGTCTGAGCTTCTCAAGAGGCTGACGTGGGAGGATCACTTGAGACCCAGAGTTTGAAGCTGGCCTGGGCAATTAGGCATGAACACATCTCTAAATTGATTAATTAATTAACTTTAAAATGATGGGAAAACCCTGGCATTTTCTCAGAATTTTTAAATATAAAACTACCATACAGCTCATCAATCCTACTCCTAGGTATCTATCAAGAGAAATGAAAACATGTCCACACAGACTTGCACACCACACTCTCACAGAAGCATTATTCATAATAGCCAAAAATGGAAACAATCTAAATGTCTATCAACTGGTGAACAGACTTTTAAAAATTAGTATAGCTATATAATGGAATATTATTTGACCAGAAACAAAGAACTTCTAACATGCTACATTTAGATGAACTAAAAAAAACATGCTAAGAGGAAACCATATATATAAGACCACATACTATATAAACACATTTACAACACTATATAGTGTATCAAATAGTATATCTATATGCTATGTGTATATACATAGTATCAATGTATAACATATTAAAGATATAAAATGTCTAGAAAACGCAAAATCATAGATACAGAAAGTACATTAGTGGTTGCCTATGGCTGGGCATAGAAAAAGATTAATTGTAAGTAGACATCTTATTTGGGGTGGGTAGTGAAAATGTCCTAGAGTGGATTTATGATGACAGTTGTACCACTTGGTTAAGTTATTAAAATAACTGAATTGTATCATATATTTAAAAAAAATTTTTTGTTTTTTTGAGACAGGGTCTTACTCTTTTGCTCAGGTTGGAGTGCAGTGGCACAATCACGGCTCACTGTAGCCTCAACCTCCCAAGCGCAAGCAATCCTCCCACCTAACCTGCCAAAGTAGCTGGGACTACAGGCATGTGCCACCACAGTCAGCTAACTTCTTTATTTTTTGCAAAAACGGGTTCTCACTATGTTGACCAAGCTGGTCTCAAATTCCTAGATTCAAGCGGTATTCCTGCCTCAGCCTTCCAAAGTGCTGGGATTACAGGCAGGAGCCACCAGGCCTGGCCTGAATTGTGTATTTTAAATAGGTGAATTTAAAAACATGTAAGATATACCTCAATAAAGCTGTTAAAATATAATACATCTTAAATAATATTTTAAAATTTTGAATACAGCAAATACCAATATATAAAATCCACATAAGTAAAACTTCCTCAATTTTTAAGAATGAAAAGGGATTCTAAAGACAAATAATTTAAGAATCACTGTCCTATATTAGTAGATTCAGTAAAGTTCAAAAAGGAGGAAAACTACTTTCAATAGCATAAAAGTAAACTCAAAGCAAGAATATCTTAACAGCCCACACACATCAAGAACTGGGAAGACTGAACTGTTCAGAATTGCACTTGAAAGAAAAAAAAAAGAAAGAAATATTATAAATGAGTCTAATCTTGGGGCAATACAATGCAGTGAATTCTGGCACTGACTACTGACGTTTAAATACTGGCTCTTGGGCTTGTTACTTCTGTGCCCTTGGACAAGTTATTTAAGCTATATGTTCCTCAATTTTCTATTCTGAAAAATGAGGAAAGTAATTATTTCTACATCATAGAGGATTTTATGAGCATAACTATCTGTTAGGGATTCCTCTAAATGCTTTACAAGTATTAATTCATAAACCTGTAAAATACTTATATAAGAACATTGCTCTAAGAAAGCAAAATCATCTTTTTTTTTTTTTTTTTTTTGAGGCGGAGTCTCGCTCTGTCGCCCAGGCTGGGGTGCAGTGGCCAGATCTCGGCTCACTGCAAGCTCCGCCTCCCGGGTTCCCGCCATTCTCCTGCCTCAGCCTCCCGAGTAGCTGGGACTACAGGCGCCCGCCACCTCGCCCGGCTAGTTTTTTATATTTTTTTAGTAGAGACGGGGTTTCACTGTGTTAACCAGGATGGTCTCGATCTCCTGACCTCGTGATCCGCCCGTCTCGGCCTCCCAAAGTGCTGGGATTACAGGCTTTAGGCACTGTGAAATATAGTCTGCTCCGTTTCTGGTTAACTTTTAATTCCTAATGCTTGTTGACTAAAGATTGCTGTCTTAGGCCGGGTGCCACAGCTCACAACTGTAATCCCAGCACTTTGGGAGGCCAAGGTGGGAGGATCACAAGGTCAGGAGTTTGAGACCAGCCTGGCCAGCATGATGAAACCCCGTCTCTACTAAAAATACAAAAAATTAGCCAGGCATGGTGGCACGGGCCTATAGTCTCAGCTACTCAGGAGGCTGAGGCAGGAGAATTGCTTGAACCCAGCAAGTGGAGGTTGCAGTGAGCTGAGATCATGCAATTGCACTCCAGCCTGGGCAACCGAGCAATACACCATCTCAAAAAAAAAAAAAAAAAAAAGATTGCTATTAGCTCAGGAACTAAGTAATAAAGGAACTAAGGCTTAGAGAGATTAAGTAACTTTCCTCAAATCACACAGCTGTGAACCAGTATTCAAACAGCTGTAAACCAGTATTCAAACTCAGGATTGTCTGACTCAGATTCCATGTTATTCCACAGTCGGCCCCATTAGAAAGGGGGACTCAGTTTGGCAGGCGAGTCCCCAATAGCTTTATTCATAACACCACTATTTCTTACAACATTTCTGGGGAAAATGCCCGATACAATTTAGGACAGAGACTGAGATGTATTTCCTCCTCCTTGTCTATAATACATCAGAAATTCTCATAAGATTCTCTCAACTTTTCCTCCAAAAGAAAGGACAATTGTACAGTTCTAAGACAAAGCAGATTCCAAAGCCTGGGCAAGAATATTAGAAAAGTGGGGAAGTCATAAACAGATGGGGCTTAAGAAAGCTAAGCTACTTACTTCTTTTCTTCCTTGTTAAGATTTATTCTGCACTGTTAAGTAGGTAGTAACAGTGCAGAATTAATCTTAACCAGGGTTTCTCTTTTGCTGAGCTCACTGCACAGTAAGCCAACATACATGGGTTCCTAAAACAAGTACACAATTCTTTGAGGCTTACACTAAAATAAGAAAAGATATATATATTAAAACAACAACAACAACAAAAAGAACTCTTATCAATCCCTCTCTCTTTTGTTTCATCATAGTTGTGTAAAAGTAGAATATTGGTTTATTTTTTGTTTTGTTTTGAGACAGGGTCTCACTCTGTTGCTCAGGTTGGAGTACTGTGGCATGATCTTGACTCACTGCAACCTCTGCCTCCTGGGTTCAAGCGATCCTACCACCTCAGTCTCCCGAAGAACTGGAACTATAGGCATGCGCCACCACACCCATCTAATTTTTGCATTTTTTGTAGCGATGGGGTTTTGCCTTGTTGCCCAGGCTGGTCTCACACTCCTGGGCTTAGGCAATCCACTCGCCTCGGCCTCCCAAAGTGCTGGGATTACAGACATGAGCCACTGTGCCCAGCTAAGAGTAGAAAATTATACAGCAAGGATTAATGATGTTTAATCCTGAAAAAGAAAAATTCATACTGAGGAAAAGAGAGAGATGTAGATAACAACCTCAAATATTTTCATCTTACTCGAAACATCAGCTCACAAGATCTTGGAAGCAAATTAAGAATGAGGCTACTAAAGTTGTTTACATAATACTTAGATAAGAAAACATACTGAGTGCTAGTCCTGATTTTGAAATTTAAAGGTAACATGACCATCATTCAGTAAACATTTACTGACAGTAATCTAAATGCTAGACACTGGCTGTAAACACAATGGGTAAAAAAGTTTTAACACTACACAAAACTTCTGAAGATTAGTTTACCCAACTTCATGAGTCAGTTATTATTATCCCATTTTATAAACAGGAAAACTGAAGCACTTAAAGTCACCTGACTTCAAACTCAATCAAATCTGCTTTGTTCAGGCCAAGCACAGTGGTGTAATCCAAGCACTTTGAGAGGCAGAGGCAGATCACCTGAGGTCAGGAGTTTGAGACCTGCCTGGCCAACGTGGTGAAACCCCACCTCCACTAAAAATACAAAAATCAGCCAGGTGTGGTGGTGCACACTTGTAGTCCCAGCTACTGGGGAGGCTAAGGCAGAAGAATCACTTGAACCCGGGAGATGGAGGTTACAGTGAGCCAAGACTGCACCACTGCACTCCAGCCTGAGCAACAGCAAGACTTCATCTCAAAAAGAAAAAAAAAAAAAAAAACCTGTTTTTTCCACTACATATTCTTAACCACTATGTGATATTATAAAATACAGACACCAATGTTTTCAGGAATGCTGTATTGAGATGATATGAAAAACTGTACAAATTTAAGACACATTTACACAGTGTCATTTACATACTAAAAGAATGTACCTCAGCATGATTTTAAAGAAGCAAAATAGCATTAGTAGTTAGGAGAACAGACTTTGAAGTTACACAAATAAAGGTTCAAGTCTTGGATCCAGCGTTTATTAGATGACTGCCTCTAGAAAATTATTCTCTGTGTGTACTGGTTTCACATCTCTAAAATGTGTACAATAATAACAAGTTTTGCTCAATAGATGTGGTAATGCTCAACAGATGCTCAGTTTCATTTAAAACAGGAAAAAAAAAACTGCTACGTATTAAAAGGACAAAGAAAATAAACCAAAATTTTAGGCATATTTGGATAATGGAATTATGGGTATTTCTCTCCCTTTTTCCTTTTCTCTTGAGTTTTACAAATGTTTGACAGCAGGTACTGGTTTCACAGTAGAAAAGAACATAAGCTTTAAAATGGTTAAATATTTGACAAACCTGAAATCAGCTAAAAAACCAAATAGTTGCAGTAAGCTCAGATCAGGCCACTGCACTCCAGCCTAGGTGACAAAAAAAAAAAAAAAAGAAAAAACTGAAAAACTAACAGCTGAAGTACCATCTTACAAAAGAAGCTTAAAGAATTAAGTTACACATAAGAAAACTAAAGGGTGATAAACGTTCAAAGTTTCACTGAATCAAAGAATATGATTTTCTAAATTAAGATTATGACTCTGCAAACATAAAATAACACATTTTGTCATAGAAGGGTGTCCAGACTAGCTAAATAACTGACACAAATTCAAACTGATACACAAATTTAGTGGCAAAACACCAAGACAAAAACCTACTTGACAGGCCGGTCACAGTGGCTCATGCCTGTAATTCCAGGACTTTGGGAGGTCGAGGTAGGCGGATCACTTGAGGTCAGGAGTTAAAGACCAGCCTGGTCAGCATGGCAGAATCCCAGATCCACTAAATATACAAAAATTAGCCAGGTGTGGTGGTGCATGCCTGTAGTTCCAGCTACTCGGGAGGCTGAGGCAGGAGAACCCGGGAGGCAGAGGTTGCAGTGAGCCGAGATCGCACCACTGCACTCCAGCCTGGGTGACAGTGTGAGACTCCATCTCAAAAACAAAACAAAACAAAACAAAAAAACAAAAAAAAAAACCCACAAAACCTACTTGACCTTCATTCTGCTTTTGTGCCACTCAGTAAGTATTTTAAAACAAAAAATATTCCAAAAGTACTTTCCTCTTCAAAAATTCAGAATCCTAATTGGAATAGGATTAACTAGCCTGAAACTCTCTAGCTTTCTAAGCTTTTTAAATAGACTCCTTCAGAGTTCTCTTCAGATCTAGAAATTAACTGAAATATGACCAGCAATACCGATAAAACACAAAATACAAGCAACTGGTAAATGTCATTTTTAATACTTTATAGATCTGCTATTTTTGGTTTATAATGCATACTATAAAACAATCTTATATATTTGAAAACATCTTGTAATTCGGATTGGTTCTTTTTTTGGAATGTGGCGTAAACATTAATGTGAGTTAATTAGAAAAGAAAACTGATTAACTTTGCTCAAGTACTACATAGATAAAGTAAGAGGAAATAAAACTAAACTACTTACTTAAAAAGTAGTTTAAGAGTTCAGCTAAATCTGTCCAGGAATTATTTTACTGTAAGAGACTGACACCTAGAAATCACAGGCCCTTCACCAAAGGAAAATCATTAATAAGAGGACAGCATTGTCTCACATACTTTTGGCATTTACCTACCTATAAATGGAGAAGGGACTTAAATGAACTCTTAGTCCATTAGAAGTTTAGAGTTTTCAAAACAAGCCAAAGCAAAACAAAAATATACACCCCAAGAGCAAAAGCAATAGGAACATTAAAAAAATAGTACTGGGAATAACATGTCTCTACAGAATAGATTTTATAAAGCCTTAATTCCTTGTTTGTAGGATTAACTGAAAATAAAAAAACAGCAAAGGCTGGGTGCAATGGCTCAAGGCTGTAATCCTAGCACTTTGAGAGGCTAAGGCAGAAGGATCAGTTGAGTCCAGGAGTTTGAGACCAGCCAGGGCAACATAGCAAGACCCTGCCCTATCTCTACAAAAAACTTTTTTAAAAAAAATTAGCCAAGCATGGCAGCATGTAACTGTAATCCCAGTTACTTCAGGGGAGGCTGAAGTGAGAGAATCACTTGAGCCCAGGAGGTCAAGGTTGCAGTAAGTCATGATTACGCCACTGCATGCTAGCCTGGGTGAGAGAGTATTCTCCATCTCAAAAAAAAAAAAGGCAGGGCACAGTGGCTCACACCTATGATCCCCTCACTTTGGGAGGCCGAGGCGGGTGGATCACTTGAGGTCAGGAGTTCAAAATCAGCCTGGGCAGCATGACAAAACCCATCTCTACAAAAAAAATACAAAAATTAGCTGGGATGGTGGCACATGCCTGTGCCCAGCTACTCAGGATTTTTAGGCAGCGGAAGAATTGCTTGAGCCTGGGTGGCAGAGGTTACTGTGAGCCGAGATCACATCAGTGCACTAAAACCTGGGTGACAGAGTTGAGACTATCTCAAAAAACAAACAAGAGCAAACAACAAACATTATGAGGCGTTGGAACAGAAAAAAATGACTCAAAGTTTTAGGTACAAAACTTATTTAGCTGACCAGAAGTACCTCAAAGATCATAATAAATATGTACAATCTGAAAAAAATTACTACTAATCTAACATATACAAATTTACCTTTATCTTAGTGTGTACATCAAAGATATCTGGGATGCTACCAAAAATAGTCTTAATCTCCTCTGGTGCAAGGATACGTCCACCACGTTGTCCTTCCTCTTCCAATGGTACTTGAAATAGCTAAAGGAGAAAAAAGACTAGTTTAAGTAGATTGTGGCAAAAAGGAAAGACCTAAAATATAGACAGTGATAGAGGAGACATAAGATGTTAATAGAGAAGGAAGTAATAATAAAAAATATTCTCCCTAAATTTGAGACATTTTCCCCATATTTTCTATTCTATTCTATGTACTCTATTTATATACCTGTGTGTATGTATATACATATGCTCTTGTTATGAAATGTCATTAGAAGCAAATAAAAGTTCACACAGTTCTGCAATCAATCATTAAAATCGTTAGTATGATACAAGAGTAATTTCTACTTTTGTATATAAGTTACTAAGGATGAAAGCAACAAGCAATCTGTTGCCTCCAGACATACTTAACACATGTGCTAAATGTTTTAAAATTTTTAGAAGCTTGGCTTGGGGGAAAGACTGGATTTGAAGCTAGAAGATCTGTTTGTATCTACGTTGCTGCTCATATCAACCTAAAAAATAAAAGAAGAAAACTAAGAACTAATAAATGAGTTTGGCAAGGCCGTAAGATACAAGGTCAGAACATGCATATGTGTGCACAGACACAAATCAATTTTACTTCTATATACCAGTAACTTACAAATGGAAAATTTAGAAAGTAGTATCACAATAAAAAATCAAAATACTTAAGTATAAATATAATCAAATACGTTCATGATGCTAAACACTACAGTATACTGATGAAAGAAATCAAAGACAACTTAAATAAATGTAGACATATGGCATGGATTGAAAGAATCAACACAGTAAGAATGTCAATTCTCCCTCAAACTGATGTATAAATTTAATGCCAATCAAAGTTCCAGGACTTTTTGCAGATATAGAAAACCTGATTCTAAAAATTTATACAGAAAGGCAAAGAAGCTTCTTACTGCAAAGCTGTGGTGTTCTAGACTGTATGGTATTTGTGAAGGGAGAAACATACATAGATCAATAAAACAGGGAATTCAGCAACAAACTCATGCAAATATGGTCAAGTAATTTTAGGCAAAGGTACAAAAGCAATTCAATGCAGGAAGGATAGTCTTTCAACAAATGGTATTACAATACCATCTGCCATAAGCAAAAAATGAATCACAGCCTAAATATAAAATTTTATACAAAAATTAACTCAAAATGGGTCACAGACATAAACAAAAAACCTAAAACTATAAAACTTTTAGAAGAAAGCAGAGGAGAAAATCTTCATGACTTAAACTTAGGTAAGGAGTTCTCATACATGATATCACAATCTATGAATGAAAAAACTGTTAAATTAGACTTGAATAAAAATTTACTTTTCTTCAGCAAAAGACACTTGAGAGAATTAAAAAAATATGCTATGAACGATGAAAAAGTATTTGCCAGTCATGTTGACAAAGGACTAGTATCCACAATATATAAAGAATTCTCGGCCAGGCACGGTGGCTCACGCCTGTAATCCCAGAACTTTTAGAGGCCGAGGTGGGCAGATCATGAGGTCGGGAGATTGAGATCATCCTGGCTAACACAGTGAAACCCTATCTCTACTAAAAATACAAAAACAAAATTAGCCAGGCGTGGTGGTGGGCACTTGCAGTCCCAGCTACTTGGGAGGCTAAGGCAGGAGAATGGCGTGAACCCAGGAGGCGGAGGTTGCAGTGAGCTGAGATCACGCCACTGCACTCCAGCCTGGGCAACAGAGCAAGACTCTGTCTCACAGAAAAAGAAAAAAAAAGAATTCTCCCAGCCTGGCCAATACGGTGAAACCCCATCTCTACCAAAAGATACAAAAATGAGCCAGCTGTGGTGGCGCATGCCTGTAGTCCCAAGCGCTAAGGAGGCTGAGATGGGAGAATCACTTGAACCCAGGAGGCGGAGGTTGCAGTGAGCCAAACCAAGATTGCACCACTGCACTCCAGCCTGGGCAACAGAATGAGACCCTATCTCAAAAATTCTAAAAAAAGAATTCTCAAAACTCAGAAGGAAACAACCAATTTACAAGTGGGCAAAAAACACGAACAGTTATTTCAACAAAAAAGACATACAGATGTCAAATGAAGATAATACGTTCAACATCATTAGTCTTTGTGAAAATGAAAACTGAAACCATAATGACTCTATCTTTCCAATATTTCTCAGATCTATCCTCTTATCTTCACTGATACTATCCTAAAAAGTTCAGATCTTCAAAATCTCTCACGACTGCTGCAATAGCCTCCAAATTGGTATCACTGATTCCCCAATTTCCCCTCTTCAATTCCTCCTTCAAAGTGAACCAAGTTATCTTTCTGAAATGCAAGTCAGATATTATTGATCTCTCATCTCATAAAAAAAATTATTTTATGGCTTACAGATAAGATAGCACACCGCTCAAAGGCCTGCTCTAGATTGGTATAGGCCATCTCAACTCTCACGGTATCCATATGCCTACTCCACCCTTGCTATCGATAATACATGGAATGATCACTTGTACTGTTTACTCAGTCTCAGAGACTTCTCATCTATATCTTCTACTTGTACCAATCATATTCATACTTTAAAATTCACTTCATTGTGAATATTCTCACTGTTTTGATTTTATAACAGTAAGGACAAGCTAAACATTCACTATATTAAGACCATGCATGTGTCTTGGACCTACCTCTTTCCCTAGGTCTGCTTTTATAAATGCTGGTGATAAACCAGCTCTGACTTATATGATCATTTTGTATGACCATCTGAGGGCTGTGATTCTAGGTTATCTTTGGTCAGCCTTAAGGAAAACAACAGTACAGCTAATCTAGTAACTTTTACAAACAATCAGTGCTAATTTGCAAACTTCTGTCAAAAAAAGGCATTACTAAAGGAGGGAAATTTCGTATGTACCAGTTGCTATTAAATAAACTGTAAAATTACCATATTTTTATTTTCTAGAAAAAAAGTTCACTTCAATCATTACCTTCTGTATGAAGCTTTTTCTGATGCACAACACACAGAAAATTCCAGCCCAACACCTTCCCTAAACTAAACGAGCAGTAAAACTCTCACTTTACAAATCTAATACCTTAACTCCTTTATTATGCTGATACGTTCCATTTGGTAAGTATAATTGTGTATGTTTTATCTCCTTTTCTAGTAAAAAGTTCTTTAAAACAACAAAAAAAATATATTTAACACTTAGCATAGTACTTTATATTAATTAGGCATCCAAGTAGTATGTGGAATAAGCCTCCGGATATTTATTTAATTTTGAGGATAAGTTATAATTAAGTTATTCCAAATCCTATCCCTCCAAAAAGGAAAATATCAGTCCTAAAACAAAGTTCTTTAAGGAGAGTATTATCATGGGCTGGGCACAGTGGCTCATGCCTATAATCACAACACTTTGGAAGGCTGAGGCAGGAGGATCGCCTGAGCACAGGAGTTTGAGACCAGCCTGGGCAACATAGAAAGACCCCGTCGGTACAAAAAAAAAAAATTTAAAGACAGAATGCTATCATGAATTTAGGCCACAATCTTTTAAATAAAACCTTTGATGAGTTTATACTAAGCAAAGTGGTATGAAACCTTCTCCAGTCTAATAATTTCATGAGCTTTTTTAAAAGGAGTTTTAGTGAATTTAATTGATATGCAAATGAGAATTCTGAAACTTCAATGCATTTTACCATGGCCTGAAAGGATTTACATTTCTAAGCAATAAATGCTACTAAAATACATGAATAGTATATGCCAAAGGGATTTTTTGCTACTCAACCACATTTTGAATCACTATAAAAACTTCAACAAGAAACTCATCTATCTAGCATGATTTCCCTTGAGAAAGAAGAGCAAAGGTGACTTAAAATAAATCTAACACAGTAAAGAACCTCATAAAACCCTGACTGCTGCTAAACAAATAATTAACCGTGAAAAATAACCTCTCTATGACCATCAAGTAAGAAGTCTTTCCATTTCTTATCCATGCATTTTATCAATGGTACAAGCAACTTAAAGGCTATTAAATTGGACCTTAATGAGTTATTTTGTGAATTCAAATAAAGGTCAATTAAAAACTAAACCCAAATCAGAAACTCCCTATTGTTTTCTATTGAAAGATAAGCTTGGTCTTTTCAACTTCGTTTTCTTAACAGTATGTCAACCTATCTCTTTTATTACCTAAAACAGACTTCTTCCTTCTTTCTACAGATACCAACATAATGACCTATTATTGTCTTTCAGAATCTTAAATTTCAGTTTATTCCTTAATATCTTCTATAATCTCATCCTATAAGGATTCATTAGAGATGTTTTTCTTCAGAAATAACTTTATAGTACATTTTAATATTGATGAGCAATGAGTTAACATCTATTTATAACTAACCACTGCATATTTCATGTGTCACATGAAATGATTACTGAAAAAAACTACTTATATCAACACTGTTATGCTTCACTGCTATTGTATAGGCAATGTTTTTCACATATATACAGTACTAAAAGCAATGACTCTTAGAACACATAATTTCAGAAAAAATTATCTATCGTTTCCAAATATAAATGTAGTACCTTGACAAGGAACCTGCAAAATTCTGAATTAAACCTGATAGATACCCTCTGAGATCACCTACTGAGTTCTGTTCGCTTTAGTTATTAAAAATAATTAATAAAAATAATAAAAATATTTCTGAATAAATAAAAGGTAATATTACAGTTATGACATTTCCCTAACAGCAGCTTTTGTCACACATTTCCATTTTTAATGTCCATGTTCAAATTGTATGTTTATATAATTTTCTTGTAAGAAATAATATCACCTAGATTTTTTTTTACTTAGGAACACTGGAACAGAAATCATTTTCCAATCAAACTCATACTTACCTGAATAATTGTTGCCAATATATTAACATAATTACTTTCAGTTTGATAAAGCTCTTTTGCAACTTGCCACCTTGCTGACTGCTTTGAAGGAACTGGAGTGGAGTTTTTAGAAGACTTAGTACAAGACTTCGGGGTGTCTGAAATGTTAAAAGGTGGAAAGATTTAATGGAAGCCAAATATAAATACCAAACATAACGTACACTTAACAAGATAAAAAGGAGAGAAAACCTACTGTTATAAATGTACCACCATACAGATTTCCATTAAAGAAATTTTTTCTCATAGGCTAAGGCCAGAAAAAAAAATGGTCAAAAATATCACTGACTCCAATTGGTAGGCATTCCACTAAATGGCCTGTACTCTTCAAAAATGTCAAGGTTATTAAAAACAAAGAAAGACTAAGGAACTGTTCCAGGTTAGATAAGACTAAAGAGAGACAACCTAACAAATGTGTATCCTGGATTGGATCCTAGATCAAAAAGAAAAAAATTTTTTCCTTTTGCTAAAAAGGACATTAAGACTTTTTAGGATAACTAATGAAATTTGAAGTCTACAAAATAGTTCATAGTATTAATGTTAATTTCCTTACTATAATAATGTAATAAGTAATACAGTTATTTAAGAAATGTGTCTCTATTATAGGAAACAGACATTTAAGTACTCAGAGCTAAAGGCATATCATGTCTGCAGCTTACTCTCAAACAGTATATATATTAAAAATACACACGCATGTGTGTATTGTATTTGTGTTTAGAAAAAGAGATTTTGACTGAATGAATGCTAAAGCAAACATGGCAGAATATGTCCCTTTGGGAAATCTGGGTAAAAGGTATATGAATCTTTGTACAGCTAAATAATAAAATAGAAAGGGAGACGTAAAACTACTTACATGTAAAAAGGAGGAAAAAGTTGTTGTGATTACACCATTACAATAACGAAAACTTGTCATATACATATGTCAAAAAGAAGCCCCCCACAAAAAACCCGATATTAACTGAAAATTCTTTGTTAGTTCAAACTATCTTAACGTAATATAAAACAACCAGTATAGAGTGGAAAGAGGACGCAACAGTGTATTTCATATACATTTCATGAAAGAAAAAAATTTGCGGTCAGACATGGTGGCTCACACCTGTAATCCCAACACTTTGGGAGGCGGAGGACGACAGATCACTTGAGGTCAGGAGTTCGAGGCCAGCCTGGCCAACATGGCAAAATCTCATCTCTACTAAAAATACAAAAATTAGCTGGGCATGGTAGCACATGCCTATAATCCCAGCTACTCAGGAGGCTGAGGCAGGAGAATCACTTGAACCCAGGAGGTGGAGGTTGCAGTGAGCCAAGATCATGCCACTGCACTCCCACGCCAACTGCACTCCCGCGCCACTGCACTCCAGCCTGGCAACTAAGCGAGACTCCATCTCAAAAAAAAAAAATATAGAGATATATATCTTTTTAATGTATAAAAGCTTAAAATACATTTTCTTACTGTTAATATGGTTAGAATACTTTAACATTATATATAGAATCACCTAATAGCAAGTTTTTCAATAGGAAAAGGAATATATGACATAAAATAGAAATGGGTGACAACCATAATATATATTTCTAGCATATCAATTTTATTCAATGATAAACAATTTTAAATGCATTTATATGGAAACAATTATGTACTATAGAGTTCTGAGTGGTTTTTTTTTGGAGATGGAGTCTCACTCTGTCCCCCAGGCTGGAGTGCAGTGGCGCCATCTCGGCTCACTGCAACCTCCACCTCCTGGGTTCAAGTGATTCACCTGCCTCAGCCTCCTGAGCAGCTGGGATTACAGGCACACGTCACCACACCCTGCTGATTTTTGTATTTTTAGTAGAGATGCGGTTTCACCATGTTGGTCAGGCTGGTCTCGAGCTCCTGAACTCGTGATCCGCCCTCCTCGACTTCCCAAAGTGCTGGGATTACAGGCATGAGCCACCGTGCCCAGTCCGAGTGCTTTTTAAAGAAAACAGAATTCAAAAAAGTTTCCCACTTGCCAAACATTATTTTAGGTTACACTCACCAGACCCAGAAGCCTCTGCCATTACAGAATATACTTCAGTGGGAAAAAACTGAGACGCACTGATCTAATTTAATTATTTTGTGTCTAGGCAATGACCTGAAACTGGGGAATCTATTTTATAGAGCACCTAATATATGAGTATACTTGTCATATCTGTTTACTTCAGTGGTTTATTTTCTTGCCTAAAATGCATATTCAAGTTTCAGTCCTTTATGATCTCCTCTTACCATCCCATGCTCTTGTCCATTATGATTATAAAACTAGTACATTCTCAGATCTAATCATGTTCTTCCTCTCAAGTTGCTTCAACTTTTCCAAAGGCCTACTGGACAGTTCTGCCTTAATGTAACTTGGATTTCTCTAAAACTGCACTACCTTCCTCTAAAATATACATTTCCTATCTATTCAATGCCGAGGCAACATTTCTTTCATTTAAATTACTAATTTGCCTTCATCTCTTTTTATTTCCTATTACTTCATTCTACCAATATTTCTCCTGTGCCTCTTACTTTTCTTTCCAACCACCACATACTCTGGTTCAGCACCTTATTATTTCATGACCGAAGTCACTGTAATAGATTACATCATGGTCTGTCTCCAAACTGCCATCTTTCTAATCATTCTTCAGAACAACTTTCTATGAATTATCTATTCAATTTCTCTGCTGCTCAAGGAGTTTCTAAAATTCCTTGTTGATGACAATATACAGTTCAGATGTTACAGTCTTATTTCAAAGTGATCTAATACTAGGCCTCAAATTAACATTTTTAATTTAACTATTACTCTTCCACATTCCAAGCAAACTATCCATTCTATCCATTATTCCCTAAAAACTCAATTTGTATGCTATTATCTGTATATTTGCTCCTCTTTATATTCTCAAACTCATTTTAATTTTCTGGGCCAACCTTAAATTCACTTTCAATTCTTTCCTGAAGTATTTAACGAATACCCACTTTATACTAGGATCTGAGAATAAAACACAGAATCAGACAGACAAGGTTCATGTTCTCTTAAAGATTACTTATTTGATGCAAATCAAATAATAAAGAAGTAAACAAGTACTATAATTTCTATCGTAAGAACTACTACTGAAAACAACAACCAGGTCACAGGGTTGGCAGAAAGGAGTGGGGGAATTTAACTTTACAGACAATCCACTCAGATTTCCTTGAGGCAGACAGAGTAACTAACAAAGTCCTGAGGTACAGATGTACTAAAAATATTTGAAGAATAACAAAGATGATATGACTGACGCTTAGAGAGTACAGGCATTATCAGAGAGCACAGTACCACATGAGATTAGGTAGATGAGGGCAAGATTACATAGGGACTTAAAAGCTACAGTAATGCAAAGCCATTAAGTGATTTTAAAGCGGAGGAGTGACATCATCTAATTTATATATTTTTAAAGACTTTTCTAAGCGCTGCATATGCAAAGGCACAAATTAAAAGGGAGAGATTATTTAGGAGACTACTGTAATCATCTAAGAGAGATCCTTTTTACAGAAAAGACTGATGAAGAAGAGCAAAGGAACAGAGGAATTAAGAGTGGCAGAATCAAGAGTTCTAATTTGGTTATGTTAGGTTTAAGATATCTATTAGACATGGACAAGGAAGTACAAAGTAGGTAGCTTGACAGGGAAGAGGACAAATTTGGGAGTTATCAGCATACAAATTTTTTTCAAAACCATATAATTTACTAAGATAATTCAGGGAGAGTATAATAGAGAAGAAACAATGACTCAGGAGGATCATACAACATTTAGAATTGAAAAAAAAGAAGTTAGGCCAAGGAGAACGAGAAATGAGAAAGTAGTATCACAGAAGCAAAGCAAAGCAAAAAAAAAAAAAAAAGTGTCCATAAAGGAGTAGCTATTCATGTGTTGAATGCATAAAAACTGTCTCCCCAACAAGGACTGCAGATCAGCTAGAATGGGTTGAAAGGACAATGAGAATCAAGGAAATGAGACAATAGATCAAGGTATACTGATGTGAAAGCGAACAGAAAAATGGGACAATAAATGAAAAGTGTCATGAAGTCCAGAGGAGATTTGGATGTTTCTTAAATCTAGAAAACACATTTGTTTATAGACTAAAAATCAAAACGAGAGGGAAATACTGATAACCAAGGAAGAATTATAGGAACCTTTCTATATCAGTTCAGCACAAAGTGAACTCACCCTCCTCTGACTTCATCCTACCTATTTTCTCCATAATTTATGTGACCTCCCCTGTGATTTTGTTTGCTTTTTGAACAGCACTATCACTCTCTAGTTATATGACCCTGGACAAATTACTAAACTTCTCTGTATCTCAGTTTAGTCATCTGTAAAACAGGAATAATAAAATCTATTATAAACACACAAAATATATAAAGCATTTATTTAGCATGTAGTAAGCAGTCATTAAATTGCAACATTATTAAGCTTAACTATTCATGTGTCTTTTCTCTACAGCTAGAACAAAGGTAATTAAAGGCAAAGACTTCCATATTCACTATATCAGGGATTTATCTACATTCTAACAATTATTCCATTCCACTAAACTTTAAAGACAAGTTTTTAAAAATGTGAATTACCTCCATAGTTAATGCTAGACTCTGGTGTGTTGGAGATATCTAGGAGTGACCCTATAGAAAGGGAATGCTCAGCTGATGGGCGCTTACGGGGAGGAAACGGTGACACGTCTGTCTCTCTTGAAAGCTGAGCAAGTGTTTCTTTTAAACGACGTCTTTTGCGATTGCTATTAGGGGTATTTAGAGAAAGCATTGACACTGATTTCTTGAGCTCAGGAGTATTTGCCTGTAATCAAAAGCAAAAAAGCTCAATTTACTTCCAAGGTTCTTTACTGAGACAGGAACAAGAGAAAAATATATTTACAAGTCTGACAAAATCTGGATTTGCACAATAATTTTATAACCCTACCAGGCAATTCAGAAGTTTCATAAAACATAATAGTCAAGAGACCACTGTAATTGTCTAACCCTGAGCACCTCGTTTTTCTTCATAGCCACTATCACCATTACATTTTCATCTGTAAACTTGTTTACTGTCTGCTCCTTCATTAGCCCGTAAACTTCACGAAGGCAGGTATCATTCGCAGTCTGTTCACTGTATCCCTAGCACAGTGCCTGGACACAATGTTTTCTAATATGTGCTGAGTAACTCTTGATTTTTAAGAGTTCTCTCCCTAAATCTAAAGCACACTTCTTAAACTTTAAGAACTATACATTTTGAAGTCTGAAGAGAACACAATATGGTACTATATAGATTTTACAGAAACAACTCATCTCCAATATTCCACTCAAAGTTATTAAATCCTAAACTAAAGTAAATCTTCCCATAAAGCCTACTTTCATAACTTTATGTCATTTTGGTGAGTGATACCACTCTTCATCAAGATCCACCCTAAAGACTAGATTTTCCTTGACTATATTCTACTATCAAACTCATCTTTTTAATGACATCTCTCCCCTTATCCTTCTTCAATGGCTCCCAATACTTATAGGATAATATCCAAGCTCATTAATGTATTAAAACATTTTGATTCTATCTATCCATTATCTGTTGGCCTTCCTTCCCACAGTGTATTTTAAATCCATATTAAACTACTTGTTATTTTAATGTACTCTCAAAGCTTTCATGCCCTCTCCCAATTGGGGTTCTAATGAATGTCCTTACCTAGTTGTCCTACTAAGTTGGGTCAACATTTATTTGACTGTTTTAATCCCTCCTGAGTCTCTCAGAGTGAGGCTATCTAAAATATATCACTCAACTGCGGCACACATCATTCCCCATCGTAACTATGTACAAATCTATCTTTCCATTAAAAGTCTTAAGTTTCTGAAGATAGCGATGTTCTTGTTCATAATGTTTTCACCAAGAATTAGCATAGAACAACATATATTGGGTTAAAATAATACACATTACATTGAATAGTTCCACTTAAATCTACACAGACTAAGATAACTTGATATCCCAATTGTTTTAATCATTCTGAAAGTCCTAAACATGCTCTCCAAATCTTCTGGACAGAAAAGTGTTATTTTCAAACAATCAAGCTCACAGAATAACTAAGGGGTTAAAAGCGTACCTTTTCATATAAATACATAGTTTCTCCAGCTCGGGCATCCATTTGAATGCTTCCCCAGAACCACTGGGTGAGAGAAAAAACATTTTAATAAACAGTTTACATTTATTTTATCAGAAAAACTATTAACAGTGTTTTTAAAAACCAACCTCATTCTAGAATTACTTGCCTCTTGCTTGACAACATAAAGTTTCTTTGAAGGTTCAAAGGGAAGATCTTTTATTATATTCTCTTCAACTACAAGGTGAGTGCATCTTTCATCTCCAAGCGGTAAATATTTACCTCCTAAAGAGGAATGCACATAAGCATAGGTAAGCCGAGCTACTTATTTCCAAACTCAAAATTTTTAAGAGGTATATTGACCAGGAAGTGATTAAGCAGGCTTAGGGACTAAAATATATATAACTTTCACATTACGCTAAATTTTACCTTGCATTTCAGTCATTTCTTCCATATTGGTTTTCTCTTCATCTGAAAATCCCAGGAAACTTAAAATACAATCTTGAAATGGAGGAACTTTAAATTCATTTCTAAAGTCATCAACTGCTGCACAGAAATCCCTAAAAACAAAATGCACTCTTCTAAAACCAGTTTAATTTAAATTCAAGTGTTAGGTATATCAATTTACAACCTATAGCAATTCTTAAGGCCTTAGCATAATCTATCTATTAGAACGATTTAACATTTGGTCCTGAAATGTTCACAAAACCTTCAGTTTAAAAAAATTGATGTGTCCTCAGTCATCCCAAAAGTAACTTCTGACAAAATGTGATCACAGATAAGCTTTACAAGAGATTCAAATTTTTTCTCTATTATTTGAAGATTTATATGTACTGTGTTCCAAGGTTTTCATGAAATCTAAGTAATGATAACTTTCATGAAATCTTAAGTAATGATGACGTGCCACAGCAAGAAATCATGAGCCTGGAAAACTAAGCAAAACAAGGCAATAAATTTTAAGCACCAATTAAACTGTAACCAGACAACATAAAATTTTAAAAATATGTAACAAAATCCAAATACCCAGATTTAGCTATTATCTAATAATTTCAGAATGTTTATAATAGTCAAAATTACTTCACAAGGTAAAATCCAAAGATATCAAAGATATCCCTCAATTTTCAATTTTTTAATAATTTTTTATAACTTTGTTCTTCCTAGATTTTATTCCCCAAGCTACTCAGACTGAATTCATTTTTTCTATCTATGAAATAACTTTTTTCAGCACAAGGATTTATCTTTAAACCAGAATGTTTAATTTACATAATGAACTACTGAATTTCTGAACACTTACTGTTCATTCCGCCTTTCCCAAGCTTTATAAATCCATTCTGGCTTCATAATTGGAGTACCTAGACTCACAGCAACCTAAAAATATAAACATTAAAAATATAAAAATATAAACCTAAATATAAAAACATGAATTTTCTCCTTAAATAACTGCATTCAAGGAACTTCTAAACAGTTAACATACTTAATTTTTTGCAGTTTTAGATCACTATCTGCTTTGTAACAAAATAATTTAAAAATTAACTAACTGTCTTCCAATCATACAAGTTAGGGTAAAATAACTTTAAAACAAGTTCCATGGTGTCTAAACTGTTTCCTTATTTTATTTTAAATAAATATATCTCTGAAGTTCATCTTCATTAAATTTCTATTTCTCCATTCTTCACTAATTCCTTGAAAGTATGACCCTCAAGATGGCACTACAGAAGAAGACATCTGACTAAGTCACTAAAACCTTATATATGAGTTGAAATATTTAGGGTAAATTGAAGAGTACACTAAAATTATCATTTGCTACACAAATACACTAAGGGAGACTAAGAAAAATCATAAAACTTGCTAAGACATTCAACTACAATCTTAAACTAAGATTCCAATCCTAGTAAGAGTATTTTCTCCTTTTATAATATTAACAAGTTAAATCTTAGAACCACTTTATAAGAGCAGAGCTCTGTTCTTAAAAAGGGCACTTAGGTGGCCAGGCACAGTGGCTCACACATATAATCCCAGCACTTTGGGAGGCCAAGGTGGGCGGATCACCTGAGGTCGGGAGTTTGAGAACACCCTGGCCAATATGGTGAAACCCTGTCTCTACGAAAACTACAAAAATTAGCTGGGCGTGGTGGTGTGCACCTGTAGTCCCAGCTACTCGGGAGGCTGAGGCAGGAAAATGGCGTGAAGCCGGGAGGCGGAGCTTGCAGTGAGCTGAGATGGCGCCACTGCACTCCAGCCTGGGCAGCAGAGTGAGACTGCGTCTCAAAAAAAAAAAAAAAAAAAAAGGCACTTAGACAAGAGTGAATTACCTACTCTCACAATTCCTACAATGTTATTCATCTACCAACCCCCACGATCCTAGTCATCTTTCAACACCTCACTCAAGTTCCATTGCCTACTTAAAACTTAACCACTCTTGGCGGGCATAGTGGTTCACATATGTCATCTCAACACTTTGGGAGGCCAAGGCAGGAGGATCACTTAAGCCTAGGAATTCGAAAGCAGCCTGGGTAACAGAGCAAGACCCCATCTCTATTAAAAAGAAAAAAAGAAAAACTTAACCACTCTTGTGATTTAAAATTTTTTACTAAATATACTCATAGCAAAAATTGAGATTCTGTTCTTTAATTGTGGAAGAAATAGGTAAAAGACTGCTATTATTAAACCCATCCCAAAATAATACTGTATTGAAATACACAAAAATACCCAAGTTTACATACCCTGAATTTTTCTCCTTGTGTACAATTTGCCACCAAATGTGTAACTTTTGAATTAAAGTCTTTTCGAATGACTCCACCCATGTGATGGACCAATGTCACCAATCGGACCTCAAAAGAAAAATTAAGCAACATTGACTTTCTGGTTAATTTGAACAAAATTTTAAACTATGTTTACCACTCATTTAGCATTGACTAAATACTTTCTATTTATAAAATACAGGATTTTTATAAAGCTATTAAATTTTATGTCAAAATAAGTATAAAAAAAAGATTAGTTTGCATATTAACACAGGCAAAATTATAGAGGTGGTATTAGTAAAGATTTCACACAAAAGTAAGTTAAACAACCACCTTTCCTATGGCCTAAATACATTGCTTTTTAATACCATACTGTGTAAATATAATGGTTTTTTTTTTTTTAAATACCAAGTTTTATCACATCAAGACTCTTCCCACAAAATTAGAGTAATACCCATCAGTTCCAACAACAAAGTATTGTGAACCAAAGAACTTTCTATGAATTCTCTAGGGCAATAGAATACTTTAAGGCTGAACTTGTAGTAAGAAATTGCAATGTATAAACAAAAACTTTAAACAACATAGCCAATATGGTAACAAGAGAGTCAAACAGAATTGCTATGAAATCTTTCTATTAATTCATATCAAGCCAGCCTAGACAAAACACTGGTCTCTTTATAAGCCGCTTCAGGATTTGTTTCTTCACAAAATTTAAAATCTGATATAGCCGTAATTTTATCCTTCAATATTTTAAAAATAAAACCATAATACTAAAAAGGAAAAAAAAATGCCAATTTTAATTAATTTTGCTATAAAAAATATGCTTTGAATTTGTTTCGTAATACTTACTAGTTCTTCTTTTTTCCTAAATCCAGTAAAGCATAGTACTAGATTCATCATACTTGTACAATACAATGGGCGACATGAAAATGGCAAAGGCTGAAAGATACAATTTTAAATGTGAGCTTTCTCTTTAGTAGAAAATACAACACAACTTTCTCAAGCTAAACATATTTCCCCTCTGGCCATTCAACTTTCCCAATCCAAAGATTTACTGGCATTTTTCAATATGAAACAAAAAAACTACAAAAAGACAGATTGCAAGTTTCCCAATAAAACTATTTCCCCTGATTCCTTAATCATAAGCAATATACATAATCTAGACACACTTTACTCTCAGAAAATTAAACAAATATTAAATGCACTCTGACAGACATGAAGCAAAGTCTATAAGCAAAGTTTTCAGACTCCATACACTACTATAAATGATTCTAATTAATGTTATTAAAACAGGTCAGAGGCATTTTATAATAAACACTGAGTAAATATAACACATACACTTAAACCAAATATAATTCTAATCTTTAAGCTAATAAATAGTGATATTCAGTAAATAATTTACTCAACGGTTGTGGGTGGGTGGGTGTGTGTGTGTATAAAAGAAAGAGAATGGTTTAAAAACAATAAAAGAATAAACTTGATTTTCATCATTATATATGATTATTTTTCAAAATTTGGTCTTTTAAAGTTTATTTGGGTTTTGAAACCAACCACTCCAAATCAAAATGAATTAAAGGTTAACATGTGCTTACTATTACTAACATGTATAACAATAGAAGTACAAAGACGTAAGCAATTTTAAGTAAATAAGGCAAGCTTAAGAATGCCAAGACAGCAATAAAACCAAATAGGGACTAACTCTCACACAACTCATATTGAAATGCTGTTTAACAGATTGGATTAAGAAAATGTGGCACATATACACCATGGAATACTATGCAGCCATAAAAAAGGATGAGTTTGTGTCCTTTGTAGGGACATGGATGCAGCTGGAAACCATCATTCTCAGCAAACTATCACAAGAACAGAAAACCAAACACCGCATGTTCTCACTCATAGGCGGGAACTGAACAATGAGATCACTTGGACTCGGGAAGGGGAACATCACACACCGGGGCCTATCATGGGGAGGGGGGAGGGGGGAGGGATTGCATTGGGAGTTATACCTGATGTAAATGACGAGTTGATGGGTGCAGCACACCAACATGGCACAAGTATACATATGTAGCAAACCTGCACGTTGTGCACATGTACCCTACAACTTGAAGTTTAATAATAATAAATAAATTAAAAAAAAAAAAAAAGAAAAAGAACCAAAAAAAAAAAAGAAATGCTGTTTAAAAACAAAAAGCGGCTGGGCACAGTGGCTCACACCTGTAATCACAACACTTTGGGAGGCAAAGGCAGTTAGATCACATGAGGTCAGGAGTTCGAGACCAGTCTGGCCAACATAGTGAAATCCTGTCTCTACTAAAAATAGAAAAGACTTAGCCAGGTATGGTGGCGTGCACCTGAAGTCTCAGCTACTTGGGAGGCTGAGGCAGGAGAATCGCTTGAAACCGAGAAAGTGGAGCTTGCAGTGAGCGGAGATCATTTATTTATTAAATAAATAAATACAAAAAGCTAAAATAATTTTCGAATTTTAAGTTATACAGTAACTGATAAAAATGGAACTGTGGCATCTGTTCTGTGTTGAGAAAAATAAAACTTTACGTATATGTATGAATTTCTGGAACCCAAGTTTAAGCAAGCAATCTTCTCTAAGACATTGTGATATTAAGATTGTGTATAGGCCGGGTGTGGTGGCTCACACCTGTAATCCCAGCATTTTGGGAGGCCAAGGCGAGTGGATCATGAGGTCAGGAGATCAAGACCATCCTTGATCTCCAGGTAACACAGTGAAACCCCGTCTCTACTAAAAGTACAAAAAATTAGCAGGGCATGGTGGCGGGTGCCTGTAGTCCCAGCTACTCAGGAGGCCGAGGTAGGGGAATGGTATGAACCCGGGAGGCCGAGCTTGCAGTGAGCCAAGATCACGCCACTGCACTCCAGCCTGGGCGACAGAGCGAGACTCCGTCTCAAAAAATAAAAAAAAGACTGTGTATATGTCTGTGTATATGCATATGTACAGTTATCATTATTTAACTTTGAAAGGCTTTAGCTTTTCACTACTAAGTTTAAAATGGAGGAATTAAAGGACCACCTTAGAGTAGCTACTATTATTCCTATTCTAAATGTTTTACTCTCAACAATCAATGAGATTTTTCCAAATAAATTTTTTGCTAATTAAAATTCATTAATAAAAATTTAAACTTGAAAAGTCATAATAAATGTATATGCTTACCTCTCCTTTTTGTGAACAATTTAATACAATTGGTGGTCCAATAACTCTACAATCAGCCTTGTAGAGGTCATTAAAGACAGAATCCTGAAAGTCCATGACTACGAATACATTTTCAAATTCTGGAGAATCCAAACCTTCAAATTCTTCCACTGACTCCATCTTTACAAAGCCCACTTTAATGTCCTTTTAATCACATAGTTAGCAGAAATAAAAATTATTTATATATCAAATAATCCATCTGTCTCGCTAAATAAGGCTTAATCAATTCAATATCAACTTTAACATGTTTATATTTGTAGAAAGTTAAGTTTCAATCACACAATAATCAGCATTACACTTAATGAACAACCATATTTCTTTACGTACTTACATTTTTACATATACATATCTCCATTCAAATTAAGTTCTTAAATTTTAAAGATCAATATTATAAAGGCATAATTCTGACTTTTTACTTATTAGTCATAAATCATCGAGTATGCATAAGTTCCATAAAATCAGAATGCTAAAGTTTTTAAGTACATGCATTTTGATATCAAGATGCATTAGAAAGATATCCACTACTGACCAAGAAAATGATACCATACCTAAAGTTCTTACTGTACAAATTAACTATCTTCCGAAAAATAGAAAAACATTACTATAGCACTTAATACTTACAGAAAGGAAAATTAGCATAATCATTTTAGTAGACATGTGAGAAATAAGAGAAAGATGTGCAATATGTAGCAGCTGTAGCATGGCAAATGTAGGATATAAAAAGGCAAGTTACTTACAGTAAACACTTTATACATCCACGAAAAATAATGAAGATACTGAAGTATCTATATAACTCTTGTAACTCTTGTGTTAAATTAAAAATAAAAATGAAAAAAATTTTAAAAAACTCAAAATGGGTCAGTAAAGTATTTGAATTTTATTTGCAAGGCTAGTGTGATATGCTAAATTATGTACCCCCAAAATTCATGTTGAAGCCCTAACCTAGAATGAAGAATGAAGCCCTTAGAATGTGACTATATTTGGAGATAAGGACTTTAAAGAGGTAATTAGATTAAATGAGATCATATGGGTGGGCCCTAATCCAATCTGGTGTCCCAATAAGAGGAAACGCCAGGGATGCAAGGACACACACAAGAAAGGCCATGTGAGGACAGCAAAAGGAGACTGCAAGCCAAAGCAAGAGGCCTCAAGAGAAACTAAACCTGCACACACCTTAACCTTGGACTTCTAGCCTCCAGAACTGTGAGAAAAGAAATTTCTACTGTTTAAGCAATTAACTATGTGGTATTTTGTTACGGCAGCCCTAGCAAACTAAAACACCTGGATTCCAGAATTAGATTATTTCATATGCTGAAGCAAATTCCCTGACTATAAATTACCGTGATTTATAATTTTGGAAATACAGCAAGAATTTAGACTAAATATAAAATTAATGAGAAAAAAGAAGCTAAGGAGTTTAAAAGAAAATTATCAGACCTTTGTAGATTTTGTGTCATTTAAAGTTAATAATGAAATCCTTATAAAGTAATTTGGTATTATTTAAAATATATGCTACAGTTTTGTGTACCAGAACACCCGAATTTTTAAAGTATAAAACAGTTTCTATTTGTTAAGCTTCAGATTGCACAAAATACACCTTGTGCCTAATTCCAATCACCAGAAAGTAGAATAATACAATCAAGGGAAGTGCAGCATGCCACATGCAATGAGTTGCTTTGACCTACCATATTCATAACACTTTTTATTAATTTTTCATCCGATTTTCCAGGACAACTTTCTTTTATCTTTATAACAGGGACTTCCATTATTTTAACAGTCTGTGGAAAAGACACTTAAGTATGAGGTTAAGAAAGCTATGAAACTATTAACACACTGATGGAAGAAAAATTGCATTACAAAAAAAAAAAAAACTAAACTAAACTAAACCCTAAAACTCCATACCTTTAAGGCTTTTATAAGTTCTTCTTGTTTTCCAGCTTCTTGAACCAATATCACTCTTGTTTCAATCTGAGGCATCTCTTCTGTTAAAATTTAAAATGTTTCAATATGTTTATCATGTATTAACATCACAATCAGTAGCTCCTTATCGCTCTTTTGGCTATATCTGGTATGTATTACATCTTTGAGGGAATCATAACTTTCTCTAAATTTAATAGGACTCAATTCCCAACTTATTATAAAAATATTTGGCTATATATCACTTTAGAGAGAGAGAAACCATATTGTAGCAGGGTATAGAAACATCATTCCTCCTAGCCAGGGAATGCGCTATCTTACATAGTTATCCTCCTCAACAGTGCATACAATTTTAGCAAAGACCCATTTATAAAGTGGTAAAGGAAAAAGTAGCTCTTCACCTAACTAATCATGACTGTGTAACTTCTAGCAAACAATGTTGTAGCTAGACCACCCTCACATACAGAAAACGGAATATCCAAATTAAGATGCCTCCCTTTTCAAAGCTGCAAAGCATACAAATAATCCAAATAATACTCAGAAAAGCGACATAGTTTAAAGGAATTCTGTCAACAAATATTCACTTAATACCTGTGCTCTAGCATTACAGTTGGTATTAAAATTAAATCATAAGAAAGTCACTAGTAAGTTTGGAATTAAAATAGAAATTGATTGTTTTAAAGCAGGTAACAGGTTTACCTTCTACATATGAAGTAGATTCAATAAGTAAGTTTTCCTTGGAAATCTCAGTAACTTTAGAATCAAAAATGGAAGAGTCTGCCAAGCTAGTCCTCCCAGTAGCGGATGTTAATACACTATTTCCAGCCATGATTTGTATTCTTCTAAATCAGCTGAAAAAATAAAATTTGAATAAAAATACATAAACATGGTCATTGGGCAAAAATAAGTATTAGAGGCTCTTCTGTACCTAGAATTTATAAAAAGTATTATTATCCATTTTTTTTAATGAACCAAAGAAAGTCACTGAACTTCTCTGAGCCTCTTTTTCTGTAAAATAAACATACTAATACCTGACTCACAGGAATATAATAAAAATAATGTATCAAAAGCACATAGAACATTACTAGACATACAACACTCAACTGTAATCATAAATATTATTCTACTTCCCTTCTCCACACCTTTGCCCTCAACCAATTTCTCTTCCTATATTCACTTGTACCACCACCACAACACACCTCCCACAAAAATCCTAGCCAAAAATCTGAGATCTATCCTTATTCTTTCCTCTCCCACATTTCCCTCCCCAAAATTCCTATCAATCCTACCTCAAATATTTCTGGGATCTGGCCCCCCTTCTCTATACGCTCAATGCCACAATGGTCACTTGGTCTAATAAAACAGGTCCACACAACTTTACCATCAGTTTCTTTAGAAATTACTCTCCACATGGTTTTCAGGAATATGCACCTAAATACAAATGTGACCATATCACTTCCCTGCTTAACAACTTCTGTGAGTCCTCCTTATATGTCCAAGTCCAAATTCAACACCAAGTTCACAATTTGGTCCCAGCCTAACTCTTCACCCTCACCATCTGTAACTCCCCCAGTCCCTATGCAATCTATGCAACAGCAACAATGAATTTTTCAGCTGTTTTTCACGCACAAATCATAATTTACATCACATCTATTTGCATTTAGTGCTCGACTCTCCACCTAGCTTGTCTTCTAACCCCCAATCCATCACTCTTGACTCATACTCCGTGGATGTCTCTAAACCTCTCCTGTATAATTGGGCTGCTCCCTTGTCAGTATTTTCGTAATTCTTTAAAAACACCTCTACCCTAAAAGGTTTGACAATACAATTATGCATTGATGAGTGCCAGTGTAACTCTGGACTATGAAAGAAAATCCTTTTTTAAGTTTTCCAGTACTTAAGAGTTTAAAAGCTAGACAGGGAATAAAAGGTTTAACAGGTTTTCATCAGGGTGGGTTCGGTGGCTCACATCTAAAATCCCAGCACTTTCGGAGGCCAAGCAGAAGGATCACTTGAGGCCAGAATTTCAACACCAGACTGGGCAACATAGCAAGACCTCATCTCTACAACAAATTTAAAAACTAGCCAGGTGTGGTGGCAGGTGCCTATAGTAGCTACTCAAGAGGCTGAGGCAGGGGAACCACTTGAATCCAGGAGTTTGAGGTTGTAGTGAGCTGTGATCCCACCACTGCACTCCAGCCTAGGTGATAGAGCAAGACCCTGTCTCTCTAAAAAAAAATTTTGTAGAGATTTTTATCAATTTTCAATAAGTCAACTTTACTGAGAGAAAATTTCTAAAATATTAGGCAAATATACAGAGGACCCACCTTTAACAAGAGCTACATGTCAGACTTTCCCCTTTCCTACTTCTTCAGATTAATAAAATATACAAATACCTTCCTCCAGAGTCTTAGCAAAGTAACAGTTTAAACTGTATGCTGTGAAGAAATAGTAAGGTATCATAACATCATTTTTGGATGCTGAAAATAAGGAATGTAATAACCTGCACACTAATAACAGCACAGCTCTTATCGTGTCATGTGACACTTCAAAATCAGGCAACTCAGCTTCCTGTCTCAGCCCTGCACATAGCCAGTTAAGCCTCAGTTTCCACATTGGTGGAACACACGTCGTACTACAACTCAAATCTAGTTAATATGAAAACTGATTAGATGTCTTAAAGTGAACAACAAACAATTATTCTCATGTAATATTCACAATATGGATATTTCTTATTGCTTTACCATACATCCATGTCAATTATTATTCTAAGGCTCTCCAAAGGAGCGGTCCAGTAATTGTAACAATCTTAATTTAGAATCAATGATACATTCTATCCAGCCCTATTATTTTAAGTCTTCTACACTCAACCCTTTCTAATGAAAATGCATTAATGTGGCTTTCATTCGAAGTCCCCTTAAAAGAATGTTTAAAAAAAAAAGTCAGGAGATGAGCTAACCTGCTTTAAGGACTGGAGGAGGGAAATCAAAATGCCATTTGAAAGGCCGGGCGCGGTGGCTCACGGTTGTAATCCCAGCACTTTTGGAGGCCAAGGCGAGCGGATCACAAGTTCGAGACCAGCCTGGCCAACACAGTGAAACCCCCTCTCTACTAAAAATACAAAAATTAGCTGGGCGTGGTGGCAGGCGCCTGTAATCCCAGCTACTCAGGAGGCTGAGGCAGGAGAATCGCTTGAACCCGCCAGGCGGAGGTTGCAGTGAGGCGAGATCCTGCCACTGCACTCCAGCCTAGGTAACAAGAGGTAGACTCCGTCTTAAAAAAAAAAAAAAATTGAAAATATTTACGTTTTTCTCCTATGCGTCCCTCTTTAAGAGGGAGCACAACAAATGATCAAAAGCAGATGATTAATAATTAAAATTGTCCCTGATGATACTGTATATGATCAATTTATTGCCAAAACAGCTTCAAAATTTATAGAGAAAAAGAGATGCATGGTAACTTGATGACTAACATCCAACAGTCTGATTAGAAACTGAAATATATTAATCACTTTTTTTTCAAGTTACTGTATTCCAGAAGCCTTTAAAATAAGCACAATAGGATTAGTGTTCATAAACCTACACGGCTTCTCACCCAAGAACAGACCCAAAGAGCTTCTAACTAAACTCACTATAACACATGCCCCCTTTTATCCCAGAGATAAAATTTGCCACGTAAACAAACATTCAAGTTTCCTTTTACTTAAATACTTTTTAGGTAATCATCTTCCAAAGTGAAGGACTAAAATGCAATCCTGGGTATAATGGTGGTGTTATTAACAATAATGTTACTATTAACAACTGACATTTACTTAATTTAATACGTGGCAGACATTGTCCTAAACCTTTTAATCTCTGCAGTAATCCTAAGAGGCAGGTACTATTATTATTTTCTATGTATAGATGAAGAAACCTAGGAACAGAGAGGTTAAGTAACTTCCCCTAAGTCAAACTATTAGTAAGGGGTAAAAGAGGTATTCAAAGCCAGGCTGAATCCAGAGGCTGCGCCTTTAACCACTAAGCCAGACACATCTGTGCCGGGTGGCTGGGGAGGACGACGGGCGGATGGCCTGGATTTATCTTGCAAAAACGAAAAACTAAACTTCCCGCAAAGAAGCCAGGATGAATCCTAGAATAAAACCACTGCACACTCTGAGATAAGCCCCCAAAGGCTGCAAGTGCCGGCCCCCAGAGCCACAGGGCTGCGCGGCTTGCCAAAATCCCTTTCCCAACTCCCTCCCTTCACCCACACTCTTCCGTCCAAAAGAGCCAACAGGTGAGGGCGAAGATGCCCAGCAATACTGGGGGCTTCGGGCTCCCACTCCGCGTCAGGGCCCAGCTGCTGGGGGTGGGGTGCGGCGAGGCAGTTCCCGGAGCCGGGAAGCCAGAGCTGGGGCGCTCCGGAATTCGCGGTCACTAGGGGCGGGGACGTCGACCGCAGGCAAAAGAGCCCTTGGCTCTGGAGCCGCTCGCCCACTTGCACCTCCCTCACTCACACAGAGTCCTTACCACCCTCAAAAAAGCCCTAGGACTTACAACTCTTCAAACGCCGACTCCTCTCACAGACACCACCATTCCTTGCCGGCGGCCGCCACAACCGATTCAAAAAGTAAGCTCCTCTCTCTAAGAGCCATGCCGATTGGCGTGTGATGTCAACCTCTTTCCCATAGGCAGGAGTCTCCAGAGGGCCGGTGATTGGTCGACGCTCTTCACCTCCCGGCAGGCGCCGCTTGATTGGTTGTGCGTGCGTTTCAAATAAGCCCAACGGCTCGGACGTCGGGACGCCAGGAGTTTGCAGGGAAGTGCCCGGATGTGGCCAGGAGGTGGCGGTGGTGGTTCCTGAGCTCTTACAAGAGTAGCAGGTGTTTCTGTGACTACCGCGTATTTACTCAGTAAACATCCTATTTCGTGAGGAAAGTTTGGGTGGATTCTCCTCGGCCCCACCCAGCTTTTTTTTTTTTTAAACGATACCAAATCTTCTAAACTTAAATCAGTGCCGCCAGAGATAAATGTTTCCCTACTGGTTGCTGTGAGCTGTAGGATTTTCCTATCGGGATGCTTTCTGCTTTACGAATGTATTTAAATTTGAGTTAAGGGATTTTGACTTTGATAGTTGTATTGGCGTGTGGCAGGGCCAAGGACCGGTCCTAGAACTCGGGCTCCCCAGGTGGACTTCGAATCAGCAGCCTCTTATTTAAATCCTATTATTTAAAGCACTGTGCTCTCATCTAGGGAATATCACGGGTTAGAATTAATTCTTAGAAATTAGAAACATTCTCGGATTTTTTAAAAGATAAGCTTGCATTTGATAAAAATATGCCACTAGATTCTAGAATTTTTGGAGCCAAATTGCCTCCTCGTGGCCCCCCTCCGCCCACTAAGAACTTGTACTTTCCCCTAAAGTCTAGTCAAGAATTTATCAAGTTTTTCCTGTGATTAGAGTTGCTATTATGAAAATAATTTATTTCTTTATTCTCTAAATATGATACCGTATAACACAATCTCTTAAGAAAAATACACCCCCACCAGGTGGGTTTATGCATAGTTCCCACCTGAAGGCTAATATAAATAAAAGAAGAAAGGGGAATCAGATGCCAGAACCTAAATACCAATAAGAAGAGGCAAACGTGTACTTTGGGATGGAACACTTGTGAGCATCTGAAGCAGGTCGTGGGGACTTAATAATTTTTTCTAATTTTGTCAGGCATTCTTAGAATGCCGGAAAAGTTTATAATGCTGTCCACAAAATGAATGAAGCAATCTGGTAATTATTGGTTTCCCTGCTTATCAGTATTTAAGTCTGACCTTCATTAAAATGCTGTGATAACTGTTAGGGCAGAAGAAAAGAAAAACAAGAATTGAAATTTCCATTTGGAATGTGCTTGCATATTTGGAAGTTGGGTGTGCCCAGCATTCCAAAAATGTTCATCGCTGAAAACATATTAAGCTACTGTGAGAAGCAGCCCTACTTCCTTTGTGCACCGCTTTCTGCTCAACAGACTTTCCAAGGCTAATGATTAACTGTGTATGGTATCGTTGCCATGAATTTTCAACTTCCCTAACAAAAGCTATACTTGATTTCTTTTAAGGGATATGTGGCAGTTAGATTAACAAATAAAATCTTTTTCACTCTCTTAGGTCTTCATTTACTCAGCAAATATTTACTAACTTTAAGACAGCCATTGTGCTTGTTGGGGTTATAAAAATGAATACGGCATAGAAAACTGCCTCTCTGGACCACACAATCTGGTGAGGGAAATTAACAGATAAACAGATAATTAGAGTAAAGGGAGAGAAGAAAGAGAATCAACATACTGATAGTTTACTATGCACTTTATACTTTAATCCTTAAAACAACGCACAAGTAGGTATCATAGTCTCATGATACCATGAAACTGTAGGAAAGGTTTAAGTAACTTACCCAGTCTCCTAATAAATATTTTAGCCTGCATTAGAACCCAGAAATAATAGATGAGTGTAAATAAAGTCTAGTATAGATCTGTCTGCAGGCTCAAAGAAAGCAATGTGGAGAGGAGTATTTCAGAAAATTGTGTGCATAGGTCTTCATATGCCACTTAATTGCACCTAGCAGAGGGCAGGTGTCTGGTAAAGTAAAACATGATCCCTAATCTTCAGGTCTTTTCAAAAAGCTAGTACTGCAAAGGCAAATGTTACACATTGCTCTCTAATAAATACAGGAATCTCACATGTAGGTACCAAATATTTCTAGAGTGAATGAGCTAGATCCAAGTTCATTCATGATATTTGAGAGACTGGATGTCCTGATTAACCTATTCATAGGTTATTCATTTAATAACTATTAAGCACCCATTAGGCACTATGCTAGCACTGAGAATATAGCTGTGACAAGACAAACATGGACCTTGTTCTCATGATACTTCTAGCAGATAGCTGTATTTGTGGTGAAAATTTATTGTATGCATAGGTTTTCACAGAATTCAAATACCTACAAAACAATGATGCAAGTAACTTAGTCTTACTGAGTCAGAAACTGTTTCAAGTGCTATAGTGTTTCAAGATCAGCATTACGAAAAATGTTTAAATACTATATAGGGCATAGGCAATTGAACTGAATGTCATATTAACCTTGAACTTTTTTTAAAAATTAAATGCTTAATATTAGCTTGTTTACTTGCACTTTAGGCTCTCAGAAAACCTCGGTGTATATAGGAGACAGTGAACAGTTTGGTGTGCCTGGATCATAATACACATGAAGAGGAGAGTGGAAGACAACTGGCATATGCTAGGTTAGGCTGGGTGTGGGGCTTATGCCTATAATTCCAGCACTTTGGGAGACTAAGGCGGGAGGATGCCTTGAAGCTAGGAGTTCAAGACCAGCCTAGGCAACAAAGTGAGGACCCCGCCCCCGCCCCACCCCCAGTCTCTACAATAAAAGTAAAAATTAAAAAATTACCCGACTTTGGTAGCATGTGCCAGTGGTCCCAGTACCCAGGAGGCTGAGGCGGGAGGATTATCTGAGCCCAGAAGTTCAAGGCTGTAGCAAGTTATGAGCTCCTCACTGCACTCCAGCCTGGGCGATAGAGCAAGACCCATGGGTGCCGCCCCCATCTCTTAAAAAAAAAAAATAAATGCTGGCCAGGTGCGGTGGCTCATGCCTGTAATCCCAGCACTTTGGGAGGCCGAGGCAGGCAGATCACGAGGTCAGGAGATCGAGACTATCCTGGCTAACACGGTGAAATCCCGTCTCTACTCAAAATACAAAAAAAATTTAGCCAGGCTTGGTTGCGGGCGCCTGTAGTCCCAGCTACTCGGGAGGCTGAGGCAGGAGAATGGCGTGAATCCGGGAGGCGGAGCTTGCAGGGAGCCGAGATCGCCCCACTGCACTCCAGCCTGGGCGACAGAGCGAGACTCCATCTCAAAATGTAAAAATAAAAAATAAAAAGTAAAATAAATGCCATGTTAAAAGGAGCTTGGGAAGGGCTCCACTGCCATGACAGAATTTAAACTTTATGCTGAAAGCACTGAAGATCAATTAAAAACCTTGAAGCAAGAAATTTATATGGTCTGGCTTTTTTTGTCTTTTGTTTTTTGTTTTTTGAGACGGAGTCTTGCTCTGTCTCCCAGGCTGGAATGCAGTGGCCGGATCTCAGCTCACTGCAAGCTCTGCCTCCGGGTTCACGCCATTCTCCTGCCTCAGCCTCCTGAGTACCTGGGACTACAGGTGCCCGCCACCTCGCCCGGCTAGTTTTTTGTATTTTTTCAGTAGAAAGGGTTTCACCGTGTTAGCCAGGATGGTCTCGATCTCCTGACCTTGTGATCCGCCCGTCTCGGCCTCCCAAAGTGCTGGAATTACAGGCTTGAGCCACCGCGCCCTGCTAGTCTGTGCTATTTTTCTAAAGGTAGCAATCCGGACGGGACGCAGTGGCTCACGCCTGTAATCCCAACACTTTGGGAGCCCAAGACGGGCGGATCACCTGAGGTCAGGAGTTTGAGACCACCCTGGCCAATATGGTGAAATCTTGTCTCTAAGAAAACTACAAAAATTAGCTGGGCGTGGTGGTGCGCACCTGTAGTCCCAGCTACTCCAGAGACTGAGGCAGGAGAATCGCTTGAACCCAGGAGGTGGGGGTTGCAGTGAGCCGAGATCAAGCCACTGCACTCCAGCCTGGGCAACAGAGCGAGACTCTGTCTCGAAAAAAAAGAAAAAAAAGTAGCAATCCGGGAACACAACACAACCTCACTTGAAATAGAAGAATGAAAGAGAAGAAAGACCAGTGAGAATACGGTTGAATTCGAACTCATAGGAAATGATAGTCTGAACTAAGATAGAAAAGATGAATTGGAGAGATAAAGAAGTAAAATTACTTGGACTTTGATTAAATATAGAGGATGAGAGTGGAATCAAAATATGTAAAAATTACTACATCCATATAAATTTCTGAAAAATAGCAGTATCATTAAATAAATAGAACAGTTTCCAAATTCAGAAAACTAATTCTCTGACTTTCTTCTTTTGATGAACCAGCCAATTAGATTCACAGTTCCTTGAATTTTTGAATCCCAAAACCTCAATTCAACACTTATTTTGAAGGACAATATTCTAAATGTTTTACACTCAGAATTGCTTTAGCTCTGAAATGTTAACTTCAAACATTCCATTCTGATTACAACATTTTCTTCCCATCTCCTAATCCCTTTCACACATGAATCAAGGATGTTTAGCCTTCAGTTTGCCCTAATGATAGCAGCTCTTTCTAAGCCATGGTCATTAAGTCAACTGCTGAAAGACCACCACTTTCACTGTCTTACTTCTCTTCCTGCCTCTCTGATCTTTCCTTCTCAGTTTCCTTTGCTTAGGTATTATTTTTCCCCAAACCATTATTCTCAGGCAACCCCCTTTCCCTAGGTGAACTCATTCATTCCCAGGGATTTAAGTTATAT